GTTTACAATATTACATTTAAATATTGATTATTAACAAAATTATTGTATGTAAATTCGGGGACCAATAATGTCTTCTCCTCTAAATACGTAACGTATTTAAAACATCAAGCTACGAAAATATTTCTTAATTAAGTATTAGTTTTATTTTATAGTCTTAGGTTCGATCATTTCCATTAAATTAAAATTAAATTATAAATTTTCCTGCGTTTAATTAAAGTAATGTTACTTTTTCTTGTTCTTTTTATTCTAAAAAATATATAATTAATTGTTTCAAAATTTTTTCAGTTATGTGTAGTTTCTTTGAAATTACTTGAAGGTCATTTATTAACAATATATATATAAATAAACTCGTCAATACAAAACAAACAAATATAATAAAATTAGATCAAATACGCGACCATTGATTATTGTGTTATATAATATTAATTTTATTATATTTCATCATTTAAAACATTGAAAATATTTCTTATACGTCCCAACAAAACGCGAGTAATTATTTGTGCTTAGACACTTAAGGGATTTATGATCGATCCACAGATCCCCACCTTCACCCACTGCACTGTTAGTATTCCGGGTAAATGTAGTACGTACGTTATAGAATCGAGGTCGAATACAGTCTTTGCCGGGTCTGTATGACGAACGGAACGCTTAGCCAAGTTCGTATCGTGCAATACAGTTCTATTTAGTGCTTTTTCTTTGATATTTAATTAAAAAATATATCAATATTTTTGCTCAATTATTTTTAAATTTTGTGAAATTTATTAACAAAACTATTTTAAAAAGTGCGTGGTATTTGTTGAAGTATTGATTAAAATTATTTTAAATTCTGTGAGAGTCAAAGATTAAAATAAAAATTTAATACAATTGCTCTTACTAAATTTTGATATTTTGATTCAAAATTAGAATTTGTTAAAATTTTTTTAAGTATAAAAAATTGTATAAAATTCCAATACATAATAAAAATAAAGTTAAAAAAGTACAATACTATGTGAAATTAAAAACATGAAAGACAAAAGATACAAAATAATAATTATTATTTTACGTAAAAATAAATATTACGCTGAGTGACTCAACAATAAAAATAAAATTTAAACGCAGCTATTTTGATTTAATTAGCAAATTGTCAAATTTTGATCACGTTATATACTTTCTCTTTCACTGAAATCAGGTCAGCAAAACGCTTATATCAAATTTTAAATTTGTATTGCATTTGTATTTGCATTATCAATGATCCTTAGCAAATCATTTTCGACTAAAAATTTTCTGAATTGATGAAATAAAAAAATCGAATTAAAAATGGAATCAAGTGTACTTAAAAGAAAGTAGTAAATCGACATGACCACGCTTTGTAAATTGTGAATTTATTTAATGTTTATACGTAGTAGTTTTTAGTTGTCTATTTTTTCTTTAAAAATTTATAGCAGTTTTTTAATTTAAATATATTGCAGTAATTTATAAATATATGATTTATGTTCAAAGTTTCTTTTTTTTCTTTCAAATAAACTTGCTGACGCTATTTTAAATAGATCGTATCGATTGTAGTCACGTTAACAGAAATGCAAGTAAGAAATCGATATATATAAGTATACATTGCATCGTGTGTTTTATATGGTGAAATGTGCCGCATAGATAAATAACATCGCGAGAAAAGAACGGCGAGAAAGTCGTCAAAAGAAAAATAATAATCAACTCGCTTGCTTATTAAATCGAAAGCAACGAATAGTAGTGAGAATAATTTTGTGAAAGTGTTTCAATTTTCAAAATGTTTCATTATTTAGCTGCAAGGCGCCATAAGATCTCATAATGCCGGGATGAGTTAATTTACAATGGAAAGATGACGATGATTTACATTATCCTGTTTTACAACCGAAAGTTCCTCCTTAACATCAATGCTATTGCGTAATCAACAAGGTCAACTCTCCAATAAATTGTGGCCTATAAAAATGCATAAGAAAACAAAAAGTAAGTCTAAAAGTAAGAATAGAAAGATTATGGTAAAAGATATGATACAAATAAGTATTACATAATTAGATTTCGTTCTCCTGCCTCATTCGATTGTACGTTCCTCTTTTGTTGTTTATTTTTAAATTCTTCTACGTATATAAAATTATTGTTACAATTAAAATAATCACAATTATGTCGGTTTGTTGAGTCTTTATTTTATGTTGATTGTGATATTATTAACATAATCATAATTGTAAATATGTATAATTGTACTTTGTATTGCTGTTATAATTAGAATTAAAATTAAAAATTAATAACACAGTTATAATTAATGTCACATAAATTAATTATAATTAATATTATAATTAAAACAAATGTAACGTTACGATTGTAATAATGTAATATTCATGTTTCTGAAAAAAATTTTTTTTAGAAATATGACGATGATTTCAAAAAATTTAAATAAATTATTTTAAATTACTGATTCGTAAATATAATGAATTTCTTTAGACATGACGAAGCAAATGTTGCGTGGAACTGCTATGTCAACATTATTGCAATCATAAAAAGAATTAGCTTTGCGCAAATTGCTCGGGAATTACAAACGCTGTCGCGTTCTGATAAAATAATCCATTTCAGTTAAACAAAATGTTATTATCTAAAGATTTACTAAAAATATTATTTGCCATTTTGTTTAACTTAAATTCATTTTAATTAAACAAAATATTATTATCTAAAGATTTACTAAAAATATTATTTGCCATTTTGTTTAACTTAAATTTTTATTTTACGTCAAATAAAATATATATCTGTAAATTTTGAACAGTGCTTATCTTGTAAACTCTGTAACACAATTTCCATACACTGATGTACTGTAAGAGCACTGACCTAGACTAATGTTTTTCTGCATGGTATCACTATGTTGCAACGTGAAAAGACGAGATGCAATCTGTCTACACGAAAGTCTTCTAACGGTAGTTAATCCACATGTTAGAATGTTATTACAATCCGTAAACCGGTTTTCAAGTAATTACTCATCTCATCGAGGAAACGAAATATGTGTAATTAAAAATATTCAGAGTTTTCCAAAATTAATTCTTAAAGTGAAATATCTTATTGCATTGAACATATACAGAGACAATATTAATTTGGTACGTGTACGTGTATTATTTCTTTTTGAACAAGCGTGGCTAAGAAGATGTACAGTCATTAATTACCCGGACAGCGCATCATTATGTACATGACTTTTTCAAATTGTTATCCAGATATTATTTATCTCGGAACGCTGTTCTATTTGGACAACTAATTTTGAAACTACTACAATTTTTAACTTTCAGACAATACTTTGGAGAAATCATCAATACATATATAATGATATACTATCTGGATAATTTGTTTCATAACTGTACATAATATATGCGAGTACGAATTATTTTTACGTGCAATGGCATATTTTACTTTAAAATTGTAGAGTAATTTTATTGAATTTTTTAAAATGTTACTCCAATTTTTGCAAATATTCAAAGTTTATTTTCTTTACAGTTTTACAATAATTAAATTGTTCAGAATGGTATAAGCTTCCAACCTTGTTTTCTTCAGTCGTTAAAAAGAATATTGACTTTATCAGGCAATCTTCTCTCTAAACCTGAATCAGTGGATACTGATTGAATCAGTAACGCCTTGCATCGCTAATGATGAATTAGTGAAATAATCAAATCCGCTGTGCAATTAGCGAGAACAGCGAAATTTACTGATTTGTCAGTGATGATAGCATTATTCACTTGTTTATTAGTGATTTGCGAGAGACTGCAATGCCTGCATTTCATTTTAACGCTCGCGCGCTGTGAGCATGATTTGTCCTTGTTTAAGGTGATTTTATCGCTCAACGCCAACTCGATAGTGTGACGTTACATAAACCAATGCGAAATGTTTTTATCGAATTACGTTTATTTTTATTGAATTATTAGTCATATGGAGGGACTAACTTTTAACTGGGACTTGCTCGATAAAATCACCTTAATATTTGATAAACAACAAAGTTTCCAGAACGCTGCACGTGTGCGCCAAAAGCGTGAAGTGAATATCGAACGCAGTCAATGTGCGTATTGAATACTTACTATATTGGTATACTTGGAATTGGATGCATTCAATGAATAAACGTTGATAATTAGTGATTTTCCACTGATTCAGATTTAATCTTCGGTCAATGATTTTTAAAACAAAACCAAGAGATTTTTTTATCAAGAGATATGCGTGTGCGTGGCTTTTATACATATATACAGATGTCCCCAGGCAGAAATGATCGGTCCTTTGACGTCGATTCGACGTCTGTAGACATTGATTCGACATCGATTCGATGTCTATAAATGTCGAATTGACGTCTATGGACCTATCATGTCTGCTTGAGTCACAGATTTTTATATACAAAATCTGTGACATATATATATATATATATATATATATATATATACTGTAACTTTGAAGCATTATAACTTGAAAAGTACTTCATGAAAAAATATTTTATTATAGCGTTTTGGAAAGCTCTCGATATCAGCTATTAGATTCTTGAATCAAAAATAGGGTGTTTCATTTAAGAAAATCAATGTAACCTTGACCTGACCTTGGCTACGCAACCCAAGGTCAAACTAATAGGATCAGTAAATAAATATTTTTAAACCATATAACTTTTGTCTGAAACAGTTTTCTGTAAAACTTATATTTCCCGAGATATTTATGTCCCGACCTTTTTGGGATACCCTGTATATATATATATATATATTGTATATAATCTACATAAATGAATTTAAAATAAATAAAAGCAAAACATTGAGAGAAAAAAAAATTTTTTTATAATTGTTTTGATGATAAAAAGATAATAAAATCGATATATTTGCATTTTCTTACGTTACATATAATAAATCACTACGGAAAAATATAATGTTTAATTTGTATTACAAAATATAAGAGTTCTTAAAATACGTCAATCCTGTGTCTAAATGAGTGGGGAGAAGATAATGATATACCTATAAAGTCGCTGCAAGTAAAACCACACCAGTCATTGCGTAGTCTTGGAGAATGTTAGACGTATCTTTTTGTATCTCTCGTGAAAAGAGTCCACAAAGAATGTGTGTAACTGCATAAGCATATCAAACTTTTGGGTTTGTGACATATCTATGACATATCTGTTCTGAGATATTACACAATTCTTCTGTTTAAATTTTATTTAATATACAAAAGTGCGATTGCTAAAAAAATTCAAAATATCTCATAATAAAACAACATTGTTTAATTTTTCTGTTATATTCTTGTGGTTAATTGAATCTGTTGAAGAGATTGAAAAAAATATTTTATTCACAAATCGTAATTATTGCATTTGTTAAAGAAGAAGAAAATGTTTTATTTGCAAACTTGATACGTATTACATGAGTTCCTCAATCATAAAATTAAATCATAAACGTATATGGATGAAATAAAAAGAGACTATTATATTTTCTGTTTTATTTCATATCAATTCTAAAACGCAGTGAACAAAACGTGAACAAAGCTCTCTTTAACAAAGTCAAATCGGTAAGTTAAAACGTTACACGTGATACTTTTTATGTAATTTGAACATTAATTAGATTAAAATTAATTAATTAGATTAAAAATTAATTAGATTAAATTAAAGAATGCATAAATATTCTTTAATTAATTTTAATTTATGATTAATTAATTAAATAAATTTGACTCTTATCAGTATTGACTTAATATTCAATAATTAATACATATTTATAATTACTACTATAAAGTATAAAATCATATAACTCATTGTAAATTAAAAAATAATATTATTGGGATGCGTTGTTTTTCATTAAAGAATTAATCGCATGCGCACACAATAGATTTTTGCTTGCAACAACGCAATAGATTTTTTAGAATATTTTTTTTTGTTATTTTGCGTTTCCTATAACATTAGTAGATATAATCGCGAAATAATAAAAAAAGTAGATTTAAAAATAGTAGATTTCCTACACAGTGAGCAAGATCGTAGCTCTAGATATGAATAATAATTAAAATTTAATTATATTAATTTAAAAATTACGTTACTGTCTGTGAAGTTATATTAATAGATATACATAAAACGAAAGTGAAGTCAAATTTGTTTTGACTGAATTTATGATTATCAAGCAATTATCGCGTATAACAAATGCGTAAGGAAACAAAATTAAATGTAATTTCTTATAATCAATTACATAGATACAGTTAATTATCTTTAATACAGTTAATATTTCTTTTGTGTTTTCTACCGTTTCGCAATCAGACGTAAGTTAGTTGTGTAATTACCGACAATCTAAATAAATTTACATTTTTAAATTTGTTTGCTCGATCACTTACTAAACATTATTTACGAATTATGTGTGTACACATTTGCTGAGAAATTCCTTTTTTATGTCCTATTAACATGTTACAATAACTACATTTATGTACATATATGTGTCTTTTGAAGGTCAAGATTTTATTATGCAATAATTGCACCGTGCGAGTGGTTTATGTTAAATAAGATATTTTTATCTTCCATTTTTTTCGGAATTGCTTGCTTGAGACTAGCATCTTTGAGAAATTTTCCGCTATAAATTAATATTCCATTGATACATTATCTATGTAAAATATCTATATAAAATAATCTATGTAAATTGTTTTAATTGTTTCGAAAAATCTAAGGACGTTAATTACGCAACGCACATTGTATAATTAATATTACGGATGAGTCACATTTAAAAGCCACATGTATTGATTTACACACCATCAATATTGAAAAAAACAACAGACTAGGCAACAAAATAAAAAAACCCATGATTTTTACTTTTTATGTCGTTATCTTAACTTAATTTTTTTTATTTTGTTATATATGTATACTTTGTAATTGCATGAAAATTATTTTGATATACAAACATAAAAGATTTATTAAAAGAAATTTGAATATTTCTTTTAACTTTTTATTATTTTTTTGTACATTTTTGGTTCTCAAAATAATTGCGCTAGAATATTAAAATTTTTTGCATTATTGCTTATCATGTTTGAGTTTCTAACAGAAATATTTGATGGTCCAACAAAATTATTTTCAGATTAATATTCAACTAAATTTTATATATATTAGCAGTCGTTTTTTCATGTTCATATTTCTTAAATGTCAAATCTGTTTTGCGTTCTACGTCTGCACTGATCCACACGAGAATATGTATATAAATTTGTTTGTGATGCCTTCGCTAACCATTGTCTATTGAGTGTTTTCAATTCAGAATCAAGATACTATGGTCGATACTCATAGTCGCTACGTATTTCAAGAACATCTTAAGTGATGTTTTAAGACGCTACTACGGCTTTGTAATTGGTTTATGACATCTTACGTCTGCATTTGAAACGGTCTTAAAAATCGATCTCTGAATTCTAACCGATGATATAGCATTTTGTAATCAAGGCCGATCATAGTCTATTTCCATTTCAAGATGGTTTCGACAAATTCAAAATTAATTATGCAACGTATGTGCTGCGTAATTGATGTTGTAACAACGATTCGTCAACAACACATATAAAAACCATATTGATTTACATGCTATCAGTATGTTGAGAAAAACAAATTGGTCAATCGAGTAAAAAACCGACAACTTAATAATTTTTATGCCTGTATCTTTATTTTTTGTATTACATAAAAGAATTGTATTCTGTGTTAATGAAAATTATTGATGACCTGTCTTATTTCAAAATTGATGATCGCAAGAAATAACAATCATGAGCGCTTGGCGCATCTTACATCTAATGAAACCTAACAAATGCTGTATCTGAAAACGCATACGCTATAATATTGCATGGAACGTGATTCGTTTCCAAGAAAATTCAATTTAATAATGTACATAATCTAAGAATAAGCATAACCGTAAAAGAAATCGGATCCTCGAGTGAAAAGAAACTATTATATAGGAATTCAAACAATAATAAAACTTGACAGTTTTTGTGAATAATATTATATAGAATCTCTGATATTTTTTTTATTGCTTGAAAACGTGACTTTTTATATTGTGTTTCATTGTTACGACTTAAAATCTAAAAGATAAAATTATACTATATAACAAAAGGCAATAATAAAAAAATAATATAAAATGCCAGAGTAAAAATTTCAAAGTTAAAATTTCCAAAATATAATAGAACGCAATCAAGTAAAAAAACTCAAATAAAAATCAAGCTGTAAGATAGTATTCATAATCTATTTTTATTTTAAGATTGTTTTAAGTAATGTCTCGAAATGCTAATACGTCTTTGTGGTTGGTTTATGACATCTGCTGAAGACTGTCTTAAAGTGACCATGAACATCGTCATAGTAAATAAAAATGCGTAGATTATTTAAAATAATCATAAGGAATAATTGAAACCAAGAGATTTAAGAGAAAAAAGTGATTCGTAAGTTTGCGGGTTAAACGGCCGCGCGAACATAATAATAATAATAATAATAATAATTTTTGACGTTATATCTTAAGACCATCAGATATTAATTACATTAATAAATTTACATGTAATTTTAATGTAAGTAAATTCACTTTAAATTAATTATCAAATTTACATTAACTGATTAAAATTTATTACATAATTATTTATTACATAAAAACAAAATAAAAAATTTTCCAAAAAAATTCTTCCTATTAAAAATTAATAAGTTGACGTGACATTTTGTATTTCTTATGTTTAATTTAATAGCATTTTAATATGTTAATTATTTTAATATGTTAATCATTCCAAGATCATAAGTTAATCATTCCAGCATCGTTATTAAATCATCTAAGAATAAAAATTTATTTCAGTTCGATCGCTGATCGAACACTCATCACCATTTCGCAAAATGGTGCAGCAAGAGGCGGTGGTCGTAAGGAATGCCGTAAAGCGTTATGGGAAAAAACAGTTGGTGCTCGACCGTTTGAATATGACCGTTTCAAGGGGCTCTATGTAAGTAATTGTTATTTATTATATACATACAAAATTAACACAAAAGATTAATCGTCTTCCTATTCATTTTTGCTTCGAGTTGTAAACGAACAATGAGTTTGTAAAAAGAAGTCGTTGAGAAGACAACGGTTCTCTAGAACTCTCTAGAATCGAAAACAAATGAGTCGCTATTGATTAATGCTTGCGATTATTTGCATGATTTTTAATGTTATTCGATAGACCTACATATCCTTCGCGCCAACCTGATACTAATTTCTTCATCCTTCGACATGTTGGAAATTGCCTGAAACTGTCGTCACGCACTTTTCCGCGTACATTCACCGATTGCTTAAATTGCCGCCGCTTGCAAAATCCACGATAGGATAATCGTATAACTTTCTAATGAACATTCAGAAGAAAATCTTTCGAGATCTGTTAGAATCATTATAATGCCTTTTACTATTTGTGTTTAATTTCTAAAGTATTTCATTGCATTCTGTCGCAAAGCTATTTTTCGTGCTATTAGCCAAATATTCGATTAGATTTCTTAAAATTAGAGTTTTCTATGAACAAAGTAAAAATGTATCAAACATATATTTAGCGTTGTGCAACGTTGGCCACATACGCGCGCACACATACGTAGAAATCTCAAGGCGCACTAGAAAGTTAATACACGGACTTGATGTATACATTAATTTTCGAGACGAAATAAAATTCTTATGTTAAATGCATTAGTAAGCTGAAAAACTTGATTGTACAATTAAAATTTAATAGCTACAGCCATTAATGGCTTCAATTGTATAACGCAATTACACGTTGTCAACACATATTTCCCCAGGTACCATAAAGACCAAAATCGGGACATCTTAAAGACGTCTAAAAAATGCCTTAACAACATTTTTGCGAGAAAGGCATTTAAAAGACGTCTTAGAGAGTCTTATGTACTGATTTTGGACTTTATATTGTTTCCTAAACCCCGAAATTCTGTTCACATTCTCTTCTAATTCTCTCTAATTCTTGATTGAAATTAGAATATACCGAAAATCGTGTTCGATTCTTTTCACGACACTTCCACAGACTTATCCGTTGTCAAGACTTCATCGACTGCCTCTAGAATCTCGTCTATCGCCGAGGCATTTTTCATCTTCATTCTCTCATTAATATAACGATGTTTGTCAGCGATTTTTCCCGTTGGCATGTATCTATTTTTCCGTTTTACGATTTTATTGGAAGGAACGAGAGTTTGAAGTGTCCTTCGAGAATAAGTCTTTCGGATGCCGTTTTTTCGTCGTATTGATTCATGCAATGTTCCAATACGTTTCGATTGATCAGTCTTTTCCAAAGTGCTTGTAATGGTTGGCAAATTTAAGGAAATATTGTTTAACTGACTAAACTGTTTTTCATCTTGTTCTTTCATCTGTTCTTGTAGAATATCTATAAATTTTCCTGATGGCTTTAAAGAAGTTTTTTTCTTGACATCTTCATCTCGAAGTGTTATCTTAGAAAAAAATGTACTATTGGTATGATCTTTAACATCAGCAGACATATTAGATATAAATTTCTGGTCGGGTGCAATAGAAGTAAGATTGTTATCGTTAATATATTCTTCGATATGTGTTGTTAATTCTGGACGACTTACAGCTTGTGTTTCTATTTTAGATGTTACACGATCACTCCATATATGTTCCGATGATTCACTTGTTTCAGTCTTATTAGTTTCAGTAAGATTTTCTTTATTCTGTTTAATTAACGTTGCTTCCTCAATCTTGATCTTTTTATTATTGATCATTTCACTGTTGCTTCCATCTTCAAAAACATATTTATCATCTTTCGCTTTCTCATGTAGTCGTTGATTATCTGCAGTCATATTTTTTAAAAGAGATTCTATTTGTCTTTTTAAATTGGAGGATCTCCATCGTGAAATGTAATTGAGATCATCATGCAATTGTCGCCATTTCATACAAAACAACTTGATTAAGCGCGATAAGATGTATTCAACCGACTTGGCGTAGTCAAAAGACAGATCATTTCTTGAAATTAATCTTTTCATTTCCAATGCAAATTCAAGATTATACAGCATCCAAGAAAATACAAAATCGTTTTTATCGAGATTTATAGATTCTTGTAATTCTTGAAGCATAATAACATGGTGCAAAAACTCGTATGCAATTGAATTCTGATTTAGCCTTTTATTGTTACCACGCTCTTGCATCAGTAATATCACGTGTCGCAAGATATTTTCAATGTCATTTCCCGCCTACGAAAAAAAGTGTTAAAATTAATTCGAAAGGATAGAAAATTGCGCAACTTGATAATTTAATTCCTCGATAAATGTTTTATGTTAAGCTATATAAAAGTTAAATTTGCGCAAATCTACTAATTGGTTTATGAAACGTGTCGTGATGTCGTGCTGTTTGTCTCAAAATCATTATTTTGCAACACGGCTTTGCAAAATATGTTTCTTCTCAGTAAACATTTCCTTATAGTGTTTATAAGATTATTCGTTCACCTTCAATTCACCTTCAAAATCGCTTTGTCGATATTTACCTCTGTAAAAGATTAAATTTGTTAATTACGTTACGTAATGTGAAGAATATTTCATTCTTACTTTATTTTACATGATTTATTTGTTTTTGTATTCATTATAAATGTGTTCTTTCTACATTGTAATTAAATAAATTTTAACAGTATATATAATTATCACATTTATTTCATTATTAAATTATAATGAATAATTTATATTAATTAACAAAAATATATAACAACGTAAAAACTTACGTTGTTAATTATGTAATTAAAACGATTTAAGCTTGGCATTAAAAATAATTAAAAGAAAGAAAAAAGTGTCTTAGAAAAAATAAAATTAATATTTATCTTTTTTATTTATACATTTAAAATGTGTTAGTAAATTCTCTTTACATATTTTATCTTAAATATAACGGTATCTCAAATTATTGAAAATGTTCCTGTATAGTGAAAAATTTTTTAAATACCAAAAATTTTTTCTTAACAAAAACTAAGATGATTATAAATTTTTCTTAATTTCTTTGTTTCCAAGTAGATGATGTCAATAACGTTTTTTAACGATGTCTTAATGACATCTCTAATGTTAATCAAGACATTATTGTAACTTTTATTTTATCATAAATAAAAACAGTATCTCAAGACTATTAAAAATGTTCTTGTATAATGACAACTTCTTTGAATCAATCATCCAAGAGCCAAGAATCAAATTTTTCTCAACATAAACTGATATTATTATAAATTTTTATTTATTTACATTGTACCCAAGTAGCAAGATAATGTCAATGACGTTTTAATAACGTCTTAATGACGTCTCTAACGTCAATCAAGATACGTTATTTGACGTCATCTTGCTACTTGGGTATAATTTGTATAACACTACACTTGTGAAATAAAAACTTCCTTAAAATAAAAACTTAAAATAACAAACGTTTAAAAATTAATTAAATTATCTTTATTATCCATTCAGTTCTTCAAAGTTTAATAGTTCGAAAATTATTGATTCGTTAAGATTTTTATTAAAAAAAAATTTACTTCAAATTGACCGAAGATATGCTATCCTAAACATTAAGAACAAGTCAACTTACTGGTATACTCCTGTTCAAGGTCAGTTTTACCATTAATCTCGACTTTTTTTCCTAGATCGATTGTCATACGAACCCACGGTTTCTCTGTTTCTCGTAATTTTTCAATCATTTCATTAAGGTCATCGCTGACGTTTGAATTATTCGCACGTAAATCAATCAATATCATATTGTCATTTATTATCGATATCGATCCTTGGATTGGTGTGGAAGAAAAAACTACACCTGCAAGTAGCAGGATCGCGATGATATTAATAATCATCATGCCACGACGAGACTGAAGCTAATCGCAGGTTTGCTTGATGATTTTATCAGGTTGCACCGGATGACGATATCATCTTTCGCTCGCCATATCGCAATCTTGCGAGAATCGCACAGTGGTGCCCAAGAGGATCTTTGCAGCTTTTTGAATTATTTCAGAGAATAGAATAATTGATTTGTTAATCTTAACTGACAATTCGAAATTATAATTATATAAATATTTAAAATACACAGGAAGATTGTAAGTGTATTAAAATTATATAGGTAAAGTTGAATATTTTCTATAATTTCTCCTAAAATTCTAGATTTTTATGTTAAATAGTTACATTAAACACATATTGGTATCACATAAATCTGGACGATTTTCCGGACGAATTACAAAAAAATTCAGATTCTGTTCACCTAGGCACCACTGTATGTTGTTAGTAGTTGGCCACTAATTGCTTTTGCCAACGATCCTGATCGTTATTTTCGCGCGAGTTTAATGATCAAAACCATGAAATTGTGACCGACATTCATTAACGAGTCCACTGTGTTGCCATCCATTCAGACTATCAGACTAATTACAATATCTCGAGGGAAACTATAAACGCTATTGTTCTTCGATTAAATGCGAACGTGAGTAGATTGGCAGATAAGTTGAATCTGGATTTCAAAAGAGAATCTATATTGGACTTCGATTATGAAGTCGTTTATTGCGAGATTAAAGGAAATGTTCGCAGTTTTATGCGCCATCCCCTCCCTTCCCCCCTGTCAGTTCATCCATTCAAACGTGTCGTTTGAAATAAGATGAAGCATGTAAGCGAAATCTTTCCTTCGAACAGATACGGACTGTTGGGTGCCAGCGGATGCGGCAAGACCACTCTGCTGTCATGCGTCGTCGGGGTTCGGCATCTCGACAGCGGCGAGGTGTGGGTCCTAGGGGGAAATCCGGGCGACAAGGGCTCCGGCATCCCCGGGCCTCGAGTCGGTTACATGCCGCAGGAGATCTCCTTGGTCGGAGAGTTCTCCGTGAGCGGTGCCCTCTATTACTTCGGCAGGATCAACGGACTCGACGATGAGGAGATCGGTAGGACATAGAATAGGGAACAGGGAGTACTGGAATACTCTCGTTGCACACGTCGCGTATATTCCGAGAAGTTTTACAAAATAAACGAAATTAAATAGAAGGAATAGGCTTTAAGGAATAAATCAAATATAGTGAAATAATGGCCTATATGAGCCGATATGGGTGTTGGTGTGTGAAATTCTTATTGTTACAAAATAGTTTTAAGTTAAACTTTCAAACACTTTCAATTTCTACTTTAAATTACTCGTATGCGAAATATTTTGTATAAGTTTGTTTGAAACAACTACAGCTTTCTTATATTATTTTTAAGAGATAAGACAGAAGTTCTTCATGGAGTTACTCCAACTACCCCCGGCAAATCGCTTGGTGAAGAACATGAGTGGAGGTCAGCAAAGAAGGGTCTCCCTTGCCGCCGCGATACTCCACAAACCCGAACTCCTAATCCTGGACGAACCCACTGTAGGCTTGGATCCAATTTTGAGGGAGAAGCAAGTAGATTTTACTCTCGTTTTAGACGCGATAAGCAAGGAATAATAGGAAAATGTTTAGATATATCTTTTTCTTCGTAGCATTTGGACCTACCTGATCCAAATCACGCAGGAGGAAGGTGTCACCGTGCTAATCACGACGCATTACATCGAAGAAACTAAAGATGCTAGTAGGGTGAGTCTTGTTTCTATTAAATTAGTTTCTAATAATATTCATAAGAAAAATTTACTATAAACTTTTAATATATCCTATAAACTTTTGAAAAAACCTATTCTTTAATTTGCGAAAAACTTGTTTTGTTCGACAAATTCGATCGTGCTTAATATTGTGCATCTTCTACAACCACCAATTCTATAATGTAGATCGGTTTGATGAGATGTGGTCAATTGTTGGCGGAATCGTCGCCGCAAAAATTACTGGAGCGATTTCAATGTTCATTCTTGGAAGAGGCTTTCCTGAAACTATGCCAGAGTCAAAATAATACAATCACTTCGAATGAATTCAACGTGGAAGATGCTGGCAGCGACGACTTGTATCAAGAGCAAAATAAATATGAACAAGCAAAAGTATATACATATATATATAGAAATAATCTATGCTGTTCCCATTGTTATAAAAAACTATGTAAATGGGTATTATTTTATATAACAAATAAATCGAATTGTTAAGGCAATCTCGGAGTACAAAGCGGTTTCAGAACGTCAAGTTTCGCGAGCGAGAAGATTCAAAGCTCTATTATTCAAGAACGGCATTCAATTTTTGCGTTATTATGGGTAAATATTTTTCAATCATTAACTGTTTCAATTTCGCATTTTGTCATATCCTTTACTACATGTATTTCAGGCTGCGTTCGGAGAGCGCACTATCAACGCTATGTCATGTCATCTTTATCATTAATTAAATGTAAAATAAGGACAAAATAATATGCAATATAGCATGCTCCCCGAACACAGCTTTTGTACAGCATTAAACTATTGTATACGAAATATTATATTATATTTCAATTTACACATATAGATACATTAATCATTACATATTTCATAATAATAAATAATATATTCCTTTAGAGGGCTAGTTTTTGCAGTATTATTCCCGATATTGCAAGTTGCCGTGTTCGTTGTGGGAGTTGATCATGAATTGAAAGGCAAGATTGGGGTTGTCAATGATGAAGCTGGCAATTGCGATTTCAACAACAACTTCGGCAATATTTGGAATGACGAATTCACCTGCCACTTTAGCAATCTCAGCTGTAAGTTCCTGCACAATTTTGATGACTCCATCACGATAGAGGTAAACAACTTAAATTATTAATAATGTACAGTCATGTAGGTGCATAATTAAAACGACTATATATTTTTTTGGTATCACTTTCCCATTTATTCCGTACATTGAAAGACTTTATTTTGATGAGAAATTAAGAGAATTTTAATAATAATCAAATAGATTTCTTGAAGATTTGTATTAATACTTCGCTTTCTCTCAGGATTATGATAACATTTCCGAGGCGACTAATGATGTACAGAATGGAAAACTCAGCGGTGTAATATATTTTAGTCAAAATTTTTCTAAAGCTCTGCAGACACGAACGGAAAAAATGCCTAACGTGGCGGATTCTGATCTTGTTGCCAGTGAGATTCAAGTTTTCCTCGATATGGGTGGTACGTTATTAATTATATTACGCGTTATTTGTAATGAATACAAGATCCTCTTTAAGATCCTCTTAAGGAGAAATCATCACAACGAATTCCTAATTTTGGTGTCTAGAAACTTTTGATTGATAGTCAGTAATGTAAATATATACAGATATGTATATACATATTTTTAATAAAAAACATTATTTAAAAATCAACTATTATTTTCTCTATAAAATGATCACCGTTTCTTATTGTTAAAGAAAGAGATCCGAGAAAATAACTCAAATTATTTTAAGTACGGAATATTTTAGCATAAATGGTATGCGAATTAACTAATTAGTAAATTAAAAATACTTAATTAAATTTATAATGGCGTTTGTTACAGACAGACAAATTGGGCTTTTCATGCAGAAGATGTTATTCGATCGTTTCTTTATGATCTTTGAGGATATCATGAAGAACTGCAATTATTCATCAAAATTGGCCGATCCGCCAGTTCGAGTACGTATATTTTATATTTTATTATAATTAAATTTATTTTTTTTTTATCTGTTTCTTCCTTCCTTTCTTTTTCTCCCTTCTCTCTCTTTCTCTCTCTCTCTCTCTCTGTCTCTCTCGCTCACTCTTTTATTGTTCAGAATTAAAATGAAGGAATAATATTCCAATCGTTTTTAGATTGAAGATCCTATTTATGGTACAATGGATCTCAATTATGCAGATTTTATGGCACCAGTGTACATATTAACGTAAGCAAAAGTCAATTCAATATAATAAATGAATAAATTATTTGCTGTTATTAAACTATCTACCTTTGCAGACTTATGTTCTTTTTAGCTACCACAGTCTCTACCACCTTGATAATTACAGATCGGTTAGAGGGTGTCTGGAATCGAAGCGTAGTCCAAGGTAATTTACTAATTTAGTCACCAAAATCAGTTTTACAAATGTTGTACTTTATCTCCTTACTTATAATAATGTAAATGTAAATACGTGATAGGGGTCAAGACGGAAGAAATTCTGCTGTCTCACATTCTTATTCAGAGCATCATCATAGTCATCCATGCTATCATGATAATGTTCTTAGTGTTCGTTGTATGGCGTTTGGAGTGTAAAGGATCGATATTCGCCGCAACCGGCTTCACATTTCTCGTGGGTTTCTGTGGATTGATGTATGGTGAGTACTACACATAATGTGCACACATTATGGAAAAAAAAAAGAAAAAAAACCCGCAGCAACAAATCTGCTGAGAATTAAACTGATCATCCGTGTTAATGCATTCCCAGGTTTTACCATCTCTGTTTGGTGCAAAAATCACACTGCGGCACATTACTGTTCGGCCGGAAGTTTTTTCCCACTGATAGTGCTAAACGGTGAGTTCCTATTCTTTTTGCTTCGCAAAAATTATTTTTTTATTTCAATCTAGTGTGTTATCTAAATAATTCTGTTATTGAATTGATTATTTCTGAATTAAAATTTTTATTACGTAGCGATATACACATTATATTAATAATATGAAAAATTGTAACAAATGTGTATTAAAATTAACATCAACTATATCTATCGAAGAATTTTATCTTATCAAATTTTTATTAATACACTAACTTGATAAAATCATAGGATGTATTTGGCCGCTAGAAGGAATGCCAAAAGCACTCCGCTGGCTTAGCTACGCATTACCAACTACCTTACCCTCTGAATCTATGAGAGGAATCCTCTACAAAGGTTATTCCATGTCTGACTCGCAAGTTTATATTGGCTTCATAATAAGTATAGCATGGATATTGTTGTATTTTGTTATAATATTTCTTGGTTTGAGATCGAAATCCTCGTGATATTGTTTAGAAACATAAACAAATTTTTTTTAGAAAAAAAAACAGAAAAACAGTCTCGCATAGTCTACAGAGTTCAGTCTACAGTTAGACAAATAAGCAGAGTGTTTTATCTAAATAAAATATTTTTATTTAAAAACATGCCTATTGATTTATGTGTGATATACAAGAATATAATTATTTTATCCACTTAAATGACCATCTGTATAAAATTAATTGCTCTAAAGGAATAAATTTCGTGAAAAAATGTTATTTTAATATTAATTAATCATAATTATAAATTAAATTTTTTTTATTTTATTTTACATCAATAAATATATTTTATTTGATTACATAGTATAGGGATAATATAAACTTAATTAATTACTTTTATGTGATAACAGTATTAAATGTTTTTAGAAAAAAATAACCTTGGAGTATTGTACTAAATATATATTTAATTTTAATAAAGTACTTAATTGTATTAGTAATTATATCGTTAATTATAAAAGATTGCGCTGTTTAAAAAATAAAGTACTTGATTTTAATGTATTTATAATTATACGCTTAAAGAAGTGCAACATTATAACAATTAACTCAAAGTATAAGAAGGAGAAGGAGACGAATGGAAGAGGAGAGAGAATTGAATAAAGACATATGCAGTTAAATATGTTCGTTAAATATGTTTCTCCGTTGTGTGACAACATATTAATCTTAAACGTATAAATATACACAGTGTTCCCTATATACAAACATATACAGCATGCCATACACTTCGCTATATCTGTTTTACATACCTCGTAATTATATTACTTATGGTAATTATATCAATACATAATATAATTACATATGATAACAAAATCGTGATGCATAATTTTGACGATTATTATCGTAACGATATAAATATAATAATTATGATCAAATCCTTACATCACAAATTTGTTATCATAATTGAGCTAAACAGTTATAATATACAATTCTGTTATTGTTAATTTTACAACTATTATAGTTATATCATATTTTTAATTATGATACATAGTTACGACAACACATGACGATTAATCTTCAGTTTAGTTATTAATAACGGATTATAAATAACCTTTTTTTTATTACTTTATACTCCTTTTTATGTTTTCTACTTCTTAATCTCTTTTCTCTTTTTTTAAATCTCTTTGAAATTTTGACCATTTTTATTTTGAAAAGCTCGTTCTAGATTTTAAAGTCTAGAAAGAAATAGATGATTAGTTTAATAACGATATATGACATATCAATAACTCTCTATTAAATGTATCACTCCTCGCCTAATAGCTCGCATTCAGAAATCTATAAAAAATAGATAGCCTGTCTATATAATAAAATAATAATTTACTTAGTAGAATAATACTTCAATAAGCGTTAAATCTCTGTTACTTTGGGAAGCTGAGATGATCACACACGAAAATAGTTAGCACTCTATAAAAATAGTTATTTTAATAGCGGAATGATGTAAGAATGATCGTGATATGGATTCCGCGTATAATTTTTGTAACTTTCAACGCTCTCGTTGTTGTTGCTGTTGTTGTTGTTGCTACTGTTGTTGCTAGCGACCATGCTAGTGTCCTGATTAAAATCATTAGTAGCTCGATTAGAGTTTATAGCAGAAAGAAGAAGCCGGGGGCCACAGGCTCGGATTGGATGAGTAGCAACGAGACAGTCAACTATCTGTCTTATAGTAGGCATGCAGGTTTTGTTGTATCCTGGAAAACACACGTCACATGCTTTATCAGAACTGAAAAAAAATGCGTATCGACTGCCGTCACGTCGTCTTGGGTTTTAAGTTTAAGACAGTATTTATAATCGGATACTCTCGCGAAATTTTTATCAAGCAGATGAAAACTTCAGAGTAAAGTTTAATATTTTTATATTTTGTAACGTTAAAATTTAACAAGATATTCGACTTAAAAATTGGCTAATATTATATAAAAATATTTCCGGCTTCAATAATCGCGAATAATTTGGAAAATCGTAACACTGAGCGCGTTAAACGAAAACTTTTGCGAAACATTTTATATGTATGTATGTTATACAACCCAAAAAGACGGATGTACATCTGGTTGTTAATAACGAATATGCAGAGACAATCGTCTAAGTTCGAAGACGTAGTAAATGTGTAGGAAATATGAACAGGAGTTAAAGTTGTATCGCATGCATTTTTAAATCGCGAGCAAAGGGGCAAACACAAAACCGCAGAAATATGATGGACAGGGAGAAGTCATAAAATCTTAAGCTACAAAAGAATGATAGAAAAGTTTAAGCATCAGAATAGTGGAAAGTTAATTTTTTTAAATCGTCGCTAACAGGCACGATCAATATTAACACAGTCGTACGATTTATTAGGATTCATTATCGACTTGTTTTGTGCCTGACAATCTTCTTGATATTTCTGACGACAATAAAAATGAAGAAAGATTTAAAAAAAAGATCGAAAGGACTTAACGCTGATAGCTGCGCTTTAATTTTTATTTGAATCCCTGGGCATTCCTGATAGACGATAATCGAAATGAGATCGGGCTTACAAAAGGGATTCATTCATAGGTTCAAAGGATCAAAGAGACTCATTGTAAATGGCCTCACTTTAGCCTTCACTTGGATCTCTCCCTTCAAGTGTTCGTGTTTGCGGGAATCAAAGTCAGGATCCGAAAGGATTAAACTCCTTGTCGGTGATTCCACTTTAACATTTAAAGGCATTCTTGGTGTGTGCTAATTAAAATGGGGATTATTTATCGTTAAACTCGTCGAACGTATTTCTCAAGCAATAAAGATGCGCAACATCACATGCAGTAAAGGGAAACAGAGCTCAAAGGGTTTCTCACAAAGTCATCGAATACAAATTAGAATTAAATGTTGGCATTCTAAATACTTAGCGTTAATGTAAGTTGGGTGTCTAAAAAAATGTTACAAAACATCGTTTAAAACATGAACGAGTAACATCAAGCTACGAAGGAGGGGAGCAATATAGCGCTGTAATACTGACGATCTGCAATTAAAGAGGGTATGCTAAATATGCTCCCGAACGCACGCAAAGTACTTCTTCGTTACAATTTCGTAATAATACTTAGCGTTTGCATGCACAAATGAATAAACATACAGATAAAAACGGGTAAAAAGTTAAAAAATGCATAGGAGCTTATTAATAAATGCGGCAATACAAATTCTTTCGCAATCTTTTTTTTTGGCACATCTCGCTACTTTTCGCATTGTAAAACGTCCCGAAGAAATGTGGAAATCGATATAGGAAATATTTGAAATTCGTTTCTTGACAAAAAAAATGTCGACGCCATGCTTGAAATATTTTTTTAACTTTTCAATATTATCAGTAATAATTGAAACATTAAATTATTATTATCAGTAACAATTGAAACATTAAATTATTAAATTATGATTGGTAGTATCACGCTTGTTAAATATATCTCGAAACTTGGATCAATGATTAAAGTCTACATCTGGAAGAATACCTGGAAGAACATCCGGAATTACGAGAATGGAAGAACATCTGAAAGAGTTTACCTGAGAGAAGCAATACGTTAAAAAAAGAATTTCTTCACATTTTTCGGGACGCTCTGTATAAATTCAGAGTGAAGCGCTATCCTTAAATCGATGTATCGATTCGTCACTTACACCTATAATTGTTCTGTGCAATATTGACTGTAATATTACTAAGATTGTCTTGTTGTATCATATGCAACTCTTGCGTAAATCATCCAACAATTTCCCGATCGTCCATCGAGAATAACAATTTCTTCCGTTGGTCCTTCCTACCGGTACCGAGCTATCGGTTTAAAGTTGTTTTATATAATAATAACACAACTATCACAATAATTATATAATACTGTAACGGCGCAAATGTTGTTTATGTAAAGCCGCGATGCCGACGTAATAGCAAAATTACGTTTCGCCTATAACTTTTATAATAATTAACGTGACATTCATCTCTTTTCGTTAAGTTAATTATTAAATATATATTATATATGAAGTATTTGTTAAACCTTTCATGTTAATCGTCAATTAATTAACAATATATCAATCAATATCAATATTTGTTTCGCGGTTTTGCGTAATGTGTCACACAAACGTGTATATTAAATTATATTTAATCAATTATACAGGATATTTCAGAATTAATACGTATAAATTTAATTAGTTAGTAGAATTCACAAAAAGAATGAAGTTCTTGATGATTTTATGAATTCTATTAACTGACTATCCTGGATAATGTGTTTAAATACAATTACATATTATTTCGTTATAAAAGATTTATCGGCTTTTATCAAAGTAGCTGTACGTACGCGGAAATACTTGTGTCCAAAAACCGATGAAGCTTTCGTAACAATTAAAATCCATCATTTAATATAAGTATTTCTAAATTTCTATGCCACGCGCGTGTACGCTTTGTATATATTTTGGTTTCTAAGCCTCTACAGAAAAATTTCGCACGTTCTTCTCGATTACTTACTTATTTAGTCGGTTCACATAAAATCCAGAAAGAGATATCCTTCTTTCTGTAAAAAGTGTTGTTACACATACATATTATTCGGCGCGAGACGTATCTCTTGATTCGCACGTATCGTGTGTTTTTCTTTCGTATAATTCCTAATGTCCCCGCTGCACAGAATGGGACTTCAGTGTCCCATTGCCAATTCTGATTATAAAGCAGTCTCCTTCTCGCTGATAATCTTGATTCCGTGCTGCGTCAGAATCATCTTCACCTCCTCCTTGTCCCGAGTGTTTAGTTTCTGAGTTGAGTCTTCAGCATCATTTTCCTTTTCCAGATTTTCCAGATTTTCTTTCTGCGAGTTCAGATTGTCAGTGGACTTATTTAGACGATCCACATCGTCGGCCGATCTCTGCAAAGATTTTGATCTTCTCGAGTCTTGCAGATTATCAGCCGATCCAATCAGCGTTGTATTCTTCGCGACCTTGAGCACCTTATCGCTCGCCTTCGCGGACATCTTTGCCAGTTGAAGACTATCCACCGAAGAGTATCGTCTCTTATCTCTTCCGCCGGAATCCTCCTTTTTCCTGAACAAGGAGCCTTTACGATTGACCTTCCTGGCTCCGCTCGTCAAAATGGCGATTTCATCTTTGGGTATGAAGTACAGCTCGCGCGGCTGGTCCCTGTTCATCGAGGAGCCGTGGATGAACAGGGTCTGTGACTTCGGTCTTCCGAGATCCGTGACTTTCTCTTTATCAGAGATCCTGCTCCGATCGTCGGCCGATTCTGTGCCGCTCTGAAAGCCGCAGTTCTCAATCTCGAAACTGTCGTCGTCGTCATGATGCGGCTCGATCATTTTGTAAGTATACCTGTCCGCCGGCAATGCGGAATCCTGATCATAACTGCCATCTACCTCGCCACAGATCTTACAGAGCTCGCAGGGAATCTCCTGAATCTTGCCGTCGAGATCGTCGGCGGATTCCTGGAGATTGAGCGAACCGCAGATATCGCACTCGATGGAGTCGTCGTCGTCGTCGTCGGCCAGCGAGCTGCAGGTCGATCTGAGCGTGTAGAACGTCTCCTGATTCGGGCTGCTCACTTCCTCCTCCGTCCGGAAGGTGATCTCATTCATGTAACAGCAGATCGAGCAGAACTCGTCCGGGATGTCGAGTTGCGAGCCACTGCTGTTCGCCTTCGTCGGCGGCACGCCCAGAAACACCTCCTGGATGCGCTTGATCGACTCGTAGCTCTTCGACTTCTTCGAGAACGCGTCGTCCTTCTTCGGCTTCTGCGCGGATGTTTCCTCGGACACGATCATCGAGTCTAAGCTGCCCTGAAGTGGCACGTTGTAACGTCGCACCTTCCTCGTATACACGTCCTTGATCTCGTTGAAGTCGCACTTGGTTTTGTTATCAGCGTCCTTTGTCGTTTTTATTGCTTCTTGTGCTTGTTGTTCTTTGTTATCGCTCATTTTCACAGCCTTTTGTGTTTGAGTCTTCTTCAGGCTCTTCGTGGAAGACGTCCTCGAAGGATGCTGAGAGGGTTCTTCGGTTCGCGACGTCTCTCGATTATCAGCATGCCGACTTTGCTTCTTCAATTCGCTCTCGGAATCTTTTTTAGGACTTTCCGTTTTCGAGGGTTTCTTTGAAGAATCCAGAAAGACTTCCTCCAGTTGAGTGATAACGCGATCATTGACAGCTCGATCGTAATTTTTCATATCTTCGCTTGTATAAAAGATGTGACCTTTCTTTTTAGGACTTTTTGCACTTTTAGATGTTTTCAAAGATTTTTGAGATCCCTTCCTAGATCGTGGAGTCTCTCGATCACTAATAGATTTATCATGATCCTTCATTTCGCGTTCACTCTCGTCGGTTTGAAGCTGCTCGATTTTTCTGGGACTTCTTGTTTTCGTGGAAGATGATCTTGAAGAGTCTTGGAAGACTTTTTCTGCACGCGATCCTCGATCCTTAATCCGCCCTTTCTCGTCGATATCAACATCTACATTGTAAATCTGTTCTTCCTTGACTCTCTCGAAACTCTTCATCTTCGTGGAAGAACTTTGAAATGCTTCAGATTGAAGCGCCTGTGAATCGTCGGTGAATCGATATTGCTCCTTGACCTCGACGTCGCGATCATCTCTGATCTTCCTCGGACTCTTACGGGAGTTCACGATCGATTTCAAATACTTGCCGTCTATCTCAAGACTCGAATCGCAAGATGTCATCCGTTTGTCCGAGGAATGCGCGTCCAATTCCGATCCCTTTTCCGTTCTGCCTGTTTCTCGCAACATCTTGAATATTTCTTCTGTCCGTTCTCTAACTTCAAGATTATTATCCTTATCGCCTACATCTGCCACCGTAAGTGATTCTTCTACGATATACTTCATTTGATCTGTTCCTTCGGAAGACTTTACGCGATTATCGATCATTTCAGTCGTGAAAGATTCTTTTTTCTGGCTTTCGGAAACCGTCGCACCGATCGATAACTGACCACTGTATGATTGATCGCTCTTTCTGATGCTACTCTCGTGATCGTTTACAGAATCAGCTATGTTATTCGTTACATCTTCTATTTGACCGTCAGCGTATTTCGTTAAATTCAATCTGGCAGTATATACAGGTTTCTTATATTCTTCCTCATCCTCGTCGGAACCATATTGGCTAAGGCGATAATCTTCCTTGTCTACGCTGAAATCGGACAGAGCACACTCGTGGCGACCGTCCAGTGACGTCATCGAGACGTTAAGCGACGAAGCTGTCGCCTTGGCGTCTAGATATTTAATTCTATCTGATTTGAAATCGGCTGCTTCTTTTCTGGAGTCAATTCCCATGTCGATTTTGACGTTACTCTTCACACTAAGCTCAGTTTGTTCTGCATCGTCTTTACCTACCTTATCTACCTGTAAATTTCCCTTAGACTTATTTTTTTCCTCTTCAAGCTTTATTTTAAGCTCGTTTGTAAGTTTTTCTATCATTAACCTACGGTCATCCTTTAACGTAAGTATGCCATGGCTGGAGTGAACAGGCTGAACTTTAACAACATCGGTAAATTCTACGTTAACTATTTCTTTGTCGGTAACGTCTACAACACTTTTTACCATTGACTTGGAACTCTTTTCCGATCCAATCCTGCTGAATCTAGACTGATCCGAATTTACTTCGTCATGCTTGATTGCTTCCACCATAGACCTACGTCTTTCTTTCAGCGCGTTCTTATCGTCTAAACCTAACTCTACACCGATTATTTTTTTCTCGGAAATGACTTTTTTATCGCGAGCCTCATCATTCGCGGCGCCTTCTCTTGTCGGCCAGCAACACTCGCCCAATCGAAGTTCGCCAGAGCTCGACTCGCTAGGCTGAACCTTCGTTGTTGATTCGCGATCGTTATTCGAATCTAAATCTACATCAGCAATTTCCATCTTAGATCTCAAATCCAAGGCCTCTTTCTGCCCAATCTCAGTTTTACCCTTTACTGCACTTTTTATTGTTGACCTAGAACATTCTCGTGGCACGGTTTCACCAGAACTTGACTGGCCGGGTTGAACTTTCGTTATCTCGCTCGAACCTAAATCTACATCAACAATTTCTGCCTTAGATCTCAGACTTGACGCTTCTTTATCCCTTGTAATACTGTCCATTGTCAACCTACGATCCTCACCCGACGCCAATTCGTTAGAGCTTGAGGAAAATTTTACTATTATCTCGTGATCGTCATTCAAACCTAAGTCCACATCAATGATTTCCGTCCTGGATCTGAGATCCGAGACCTCTCTCTGTCCAATACTAGCTTTACCCGCGGCATCGTCTACCGTCGATCTACGACCGTCTTCTGACGAAGGACCAGGCTGGGATCTCGTCATCGCCTCGTCAAGCGCACCTACCTCGTCTACGATTCGCGCAACGCCGGTTGCGCTGGCGATGATCTGTTTCGCCTGACCGGGATACGCGACCCTAGATATATGCTTGACGTTGCCGTTGTCGGCGTTGTTGCTGATCATGCTAACAAATTGCTCGCGAATCTCGTCGAGCCCGCCACCGTTACCCGCGGCATTTTGCAGGTTTTTGCGCAGCACCACCGCGTCCGGCACATCGACAGACGCGGCGATCTCGACCGGGCTCGGCGAGCCCATGGTTACATCGCTGGGCGACGGCGTCATAAGCAATGCGCTTAGGTATCGGGGATCAAGGTGTAGGTAATTGTTCGCATTCGGTGACGGCAATTCCAACTTACTTCGGTGTCCAATCAGCAGCGGCAGCGTGAAAAACATGACGATTCTTTTATAGAACATCACTTTCGCTCAATACGCACAACATAATTTAGTCGCATGGGTTCGTCACGTTTTTTTCATTTGCAGTTAAGAATTATTAGAGTACTGCATATATAGGAAATGAATGATTTCCACGAAAATAAAATATTAATACATATACAGTTAAAAAGTTTGGTAGTGTTTTTTGAAACTTTCGGAATCTTCAGTGTTTCTCACATGCAAGGATTTGATAACAAAAACTAATTATTATATGTGAGCTTCAGTTTAATTCCGATTTCAGTTCTATTCGTATATTTGTAACTTTGTTTTACTCAGCAACTTTAATATGATGAACAGAATATATGAGAATAAATTGGGTTGCTATGATCCCACGCGACTAATAAAGCGAATAATAGTAATAAAGATGTTTTCGAAATTTGATTCACTGACGATATTTATAACGATTATTTGTAACCACTAAAATTTTACTCTAGAATTAATCGAACAATTCTATTAACTCTTTATTACCAATAATAAAATAGTAAATGAAATATTTTTTTCAACCATTTATAATCGCAATAATTGCTTTTGTCAGTGAATAAAATTATTTAAAGTGCATATTACTTTTAAATTAATTGTGATATTACATAAACTCTCGGCAAACACTGTAAATTCTTTCTGTTTAAAAAAATTTATTAATATTAAAGATATTAGATACAGAAATTGATTTTAATCAAAACAGTTTATATACAAAGTTTATTTTTTATATTTTATTATTAATTATAACAATACTTTTCGTACGATTGAATTTAAAATATTGTGTCTGCTGAGAATTAAATATAGATTTCTGATATTTGAAATCTATAAAGAATAATTTTATATATGCTATATACTATAGTATCATTTTATTATCCAAAAAATAGATTATTATGAAAATAACAAATAAAATACAATAATTTATAACATTTATTGATTCAAATAAAACATTGATATTGGATATTAAAAGCACATTAATAAGTGTTCTTAAACTACTTATAATAAACAGAAGACAATCCTAAAATACATTTAAAATGATTAAATAGTGAAACAGTACAATAAATAGAACGTAATTCTTCCGTTATCAATAAAGAAATATAATGACTCGAGTATCTTCCAAACATGAACACATGTTATATAATTTAAATAAAAATAAAAATTTATATTTTTCTAAGTATTCAATCGCACGTTACGAAGGAAATGCTTAAAAGCAAAATCGACGTTTGTGTGATTAAACACTATAAAAAAAAAAAAAAATACGTGTTTCTCTTATATTGATCTACATGTCCAGAGCTCATAAAAAATTGAAGTGTGTGGGTGTTTTGGCATGTTTCCTGGTAAATATTATATCTGACGGAAGACAGGCAGAAAGACTAGAGTAAGGAATATCGTACATCATATAAATTCCTTTGAAATATTACGTAGCAATAATCGTGTTCTTTTTAAGTATTCCATCTTTGTACATATAACATATTCACGAAAAAATATATATATAATAACACGACATATAAAAGATAGAAATTAATGTATCTATAGATACGTACTAAATAATTAATCGAGAAATGGTCCCAAATAAAAATCAATAACTGTTACTGCTAATATCGGTTAACATCAACGATCAGCTGAGCAATTTTCTGAGCACAGTTTGATTCAGTATTTTATGTTTTTAAATATATCCTTATTGAAATTTATTTTCTTCCATATTTTTATAAACTTACTCAATTATATTTTATTATATAGGTATATATTTCTTTAACTTTGTATTTTCATTACAAGCTTGCAAAGGGACCAGTTTTTCATTGAATTGTTATTAGTATATACAACGAAATCTTATCTATATAATAAATATACCATCATTATAAAAATTAAGTATGTTATTTTCACCATAAAATATAGGTATAAAAATTGATGGATAATATATCTACAATGAGTTTATCACTATTCATTAAAATATCACAAAAAATGATATAACCATGAATTTTTTTATCAATTTCCTTTTCGCGAAGTTTTATCACACAACAGCCATATTGGATTATGATACGAAAACGAAATCATTTTTTATTTAATAATAAAACATATTTAAAATTATATAATGTAATCCTATCAAACTAATCTAGATTCCCTTCTAATTTGTTTAATAATCTATATAAAAGTTTGTATAAAAATAATTATTTCTGTATATGTCTCATAATTCAATATGGTAGCAATCGTGGGCGAGTATTCGCAGTATGTCATTCGGACAATCAAGCAACGATAAATTTTATTACGAACAATTTAACTTGCACAGTAACTCTGTCTTTTCTCATTATGATTAAGCCTCCGTACGTTTATTTTTTGCTTTCTTATTGTCTATCAGTTCTTCTCTTGCCTCGCTCTCCAATATTTGCCATGTATAGTGCATAGAAAAAGCTTTTTAAATGTGAGGTAATCGAAAAGCGACGCAAGGAGAAAAGAAATACACAGCAGCGAAACACAATTAAGGTAAATAAAGCATATATATATAACTGATTATTCGTTACTTGATTCCTCGATTTTTTATTTGCCTGATTCAGCAGCGATTGCCGCAATTTCTCGCGCAGAATTTACAAATTTCAAGCTTAAATCTATATGGCTCCAGACACATCTTAATTATTTCAGTCTCATTTTAATCCTCTCCTGCTCAATAACTTTCAAATCATATACCGTTTTATTTTATTCTTTTTTTAATTTTGCGTGTCAAGCTTATGGAAAACCATCTCTAAACTTCATATGTAGCAGTAGAATACAGCTTTTTTATTTGTATTATTTAATTTTACATTTTCAAACTTTAACGTCTTCACATCCACAAATTTAAGCAACAGAGGATTAATGAGCTAGCAGACTAAACAACAAAAAAAGCTCGACTATCGTCTTATAAAAGAATGCGTCTAAACAGAATATTCGAAACTTACATTGTCGTGTCTGGCATTCTCGCATCGTAGATTTCATGCTTGTAGATATAATCGATGACGGAGTCCTGTAGTAGATACTTGATGCTCTCACCGCGTTTCAGAGCTCGTCTGATTTTTGTCGAGCTAACTTCGTTCGGGATCCATTCGGTTACGATGCAAATATTGTTCTGGAAATAAAAAGAAGAACTGAATTTTGCAGCAATCTGAAAGGCTACTTTTAAAGATCGGCTACATTGTGATAATAATTTTTGACGAAAATATAGATTTCTAGTATAATTAAATTCATAAAATTTAAATATAATTCATTTATTTAAATTAAATTATTTGAATTCTTGCATTTATTTAAAACATGAAACAACGATCGTGAATTCTGCCATATATAATATGCCTGTTCTGTAAATATTGCATACTGTAGGACAAGTATCACTGTGTAAATATTCAACAAATAGTAATTTTTCGTTGATACACTAAGAAACATTTAATAAACACATGTTGTGCAACAAATATAATTCACGAAAAGAAAACATAATTCTTAATTTTTCTATACTTACCATGTGCTTGGAGAGGACATCTGAGTCATAGATAAACTTGTTGGGATTGGAACCTTCTCTGGTAATGACCACAAGACCATGCTCGCCGACGATTGCATCAATCTGTGACAGAACGATAAAACTGACTATCTTTTACTGCCGTTTTACTTGTGCTTTACAGTTCTATTATCTTTATAGTTAAAAAAACAAACGTTTTATCTCTTGAACAGGAAAGACAGTTCATTCAATCTCATCAGAAGAAGACAATGTTCTCATAAAAAAATGTTCTACTAAAAAGACATTCTTATTTAAAGTGATCATTGAGGTATACTTCGTATATGTAACTCACATCTTCTTCCAGCCAAAGTCCACAAATGCCGAAGCTCTCCAGAAGATCTGCTCCGCACAGCAATTTAATTTGTATCGGCGTATTGTCCGAGCTGTTCTTCACATTCTCCGGAATCCAATCTGTATCTTCTATCTGCAGGTGATGCTTGATGTCATTGGAATTCGACAGTATGGAGTTGAGCAGATTTTGATGGTGCTGCAAGCATATGCGGGTCTTGGTCCAGCAGTTCTGCCCAGTCTCCCATGTGCTCAGCCGAATCCAGTTGCTATTCTGCAACGCCAGGCGAAGCATTGCACATCTGTGGGTAGCACTGGCCAATTCCTTCTTAGCGTAAGCATCGTGCACCGGGGAGATTACTCCACCAACGACGACATGCGTTCCCATCCGATGCAGATGATCTCGAGCTATTTCTGTGCGAAACAAAGAATTATTAATTTAAGTTATATATTTATTGTATTATAATTAAAATATAAACTATATATATATATAAAATATAAATTATAAATTATAATTAATAATTTAAGGTTTATTATTTTTAATTCGCATGTTTAATGTGCATTGCATGATCAGGTAAATCTATGATTACACTGGGCTTAGCAGGAAGAAATGAGAGAAAATGTTATAAAGAGCAGTTAATAAAAATGTATCTCATATGCTGTCCCATCATGCAGACATGATAAACAAGCTGCACGCATGACAACGATGTGTCATCATGCGTGATAACGTAACGTGACGCGATGGTACTCGCCGCTCTACAGGAACGGCATCGCTCGGGGTGAGGATGACAAGCAAATCAATATGTACGTACCAAACATCCGCAGATGCATAATCGTCGGTGGGTTATAGCTGCCGCACGACATCAGGATTACACGCGTGGGCGCCATTTTGCGCGCTCGCCACTCGTCGCCGCATCGACGGTCGACCGCACCTCCGTCACCGTCAAATCGACCCGAAGCGCTGCCGCTGAACAACAACGACGACGACGACGACGCACACGTCGCGAGGTTGCGTAACCTACTGACCGCGTTTAGGAACGAATCACGCGCCGATCGCCGCCATGTTATCTCAAACATCGCCGACCAATGGGAGGCACTCTTGGCCGTGTCGGCGCGCCACCTGGCGCGACCTCAGCTAGCGCGGATGCATCATGTAGCAATCATACCGCGCGCACGACGTCCGACATCCAATAGCAGAGCTCGCTTCCTAGGGGCAAAAAATATCATTAGCCTAGAGTCCCTAGAAAACTCATTTGTTCTATTGGGTTACCGAAATGCGTTTATTTACGAGCGAAGAAAAAGTTGCGATGCTTTCTTTTGATTTCTTTTGGAACGTAGACATTTGATTTGTTTTCTAATTTTCGATTGCGAGACGACGTCCGATACGATCCGATTGGCGTCATTAACATGGCCTCCTAACCTCACCTTAAATATTTCTTTGGCGAACAAATCGTATCTGGATATACGCATTATAACTTTTATCCTAAATTTAACGTTGTTAGTCAAATTAATTGATGTATGTTTCAGATCAGGAACAAATATTAAATCAAAACGTATTATGATTCTCATAGCTTATAATACAGGTCTACATTAATGGTTTAGATTAATACTTACGATTTAAAATTGTAATTTTAGATCAATTCTTTTTTAAAAAATATGATAATGCAAAATACATATAAACCACTTTTTAAGAAAAACATTTTTTTAAAGACATTTTTAGATGTCATTTGCGTTCTAAACATTGCATTTTAAAGGTTAAATTAATATGTTTTACAATGAAATATTGACTTTTCTTTTCAATCTATTCATCTATTCTTTTCATTCTTGTCATCCATTCTTATGAATGAACAATATAGTTCATTCATAATATATAGAGAATTGATATTTAACTTACCTGGTATTTGAAGTCATTCCTATCTTGATGGTTGAATGGTTATATTTTAAATTGTCTTCCTCATGCATCGACTGTTGTTTCAGGAACAGTTGATATGGTTTTGTTTAAATCATTCATATTTTTTTGTAATATGATCTACATGTTGCAAAATATTACTTTTACATTTATTTAATTTACTAGTTAATTATCCTGAGTAATTGTTGCATTGCGCTTTTGTAATTATTTGGCTACTTATTTAATTTTTCATTGATTTTTGATTGACTCTAACTGCATATCACTCATATTTATGCGTATCTATATTCCGTTTTTATACTCTCTATATATACAAAATTGTTATAATACATATTACTATTATCATTTAGATATATAATTGTACAATAAATTAATTTAACAATAAATTGAACGAACTAAAGAAAAATTCAACAACGTAATGTTATGCAGTACTTCACAATGTTTTATAAAATTATTGTAATTTAAACGCAAACGTTTTTGCAAGAACTGAAGCATTTTTTACAAAAGAAATTACGTCATTTCGAATATTTCCAATCCAATATTTACGAAATTATATATATAATTTCGTAAAAAAAAAGTTTGCTGTAATTCTAAATGAACATAAGAGAATTTCATAAAACTTGAATTTTTTTCTACGTGACATTTTATACGATAACGCGAATAACTTCTTTCTATTCCCGACAAAGTTTTTCGACCGCAATCTTTCCTTATTCTATATAATATGATAAGAGGGACTGGTTCAGTAATACACAAATCTAACTTTATTCACATTTTTTTTGTCATTTTTTTCCGCTGAATCATCGAGAAAATGATCTTGAGAGAACAGAAACCTCTGCGATACGAATAGCAATTACAGGTAAATATGTACAATAATATATAATAAGTGATGGTTGCCCTTCCTTTTCTTCTTCTACTTCTTCTTCTTCTTCAACAGTCGTCTTACTTCGCTCAACGACAATCAACCAATCAGTATTTTAACCGTAATAAATCGCGCAAGACTCTAATCCTTCCCACGCATCCATACCCGCCTAAGCATTAATTACTATCGATCATCGAATATCGCGACAGTATCGACGAATTGACAGAAATGCTTCTCCTAATTCGAATCATCGACCTTCAAATCGCCAGCCGGACTTTCCCCTCGTTTCGGAATCATCGCGCAAAACTCACACAATCGGATTTTAATAATCGCGATGCAAGATGTTCGAGCATTCGTCCGAGAGAACATTCCTTCTTCTCGTACCTCTTTTCTTCGTGAACTTTATTCCTTTTTCTCGAGATTCAGATTTTACAATCTCATAAACTAGCGGGATTAGAATACAAACATTTTGCATCGCTCTCAATATTCGACTCATCTTTAACTTCACTTATTGCGACAATTGTGTTGCACTTGATGATTTTACTTCGCTTCACTTTGCCTCCTCCAACTTTTTCGTAAAATTCAAAATGTCTCTCTCTCTCTCTCTCTCTCTCTCTCGCAGATCTTAGATATTATCTCATTATCGTACATTCACACACTCACATTCGTTTTAAATAGTACTTTATAACGTTATATTCATCTGTTTCTTTCAAATCTCTCTCTTTGTATCTCTTTACGCCTCTGTCACTTTCATTCTCTCATTCACTCTTCCAATCGAATCCGATTGTTCGCGTAAGGATTCGTGTAAGGTGAAATGGGCTATTGTGTATCTCTCTCGGAATATTCAGAATTTTTTCTTATAGTAAGATTAAAACTAGACTAAATTAAATTACTTGAATTTGATTAAAGTTTACAGTAAGCTATAAAATGATAGGTACGTGTCTACTGATTAAAATATGTGATTAATCTTTTTACATTTATATATTTAAGTACTTTGTTATCTTCAATATTGTCATTCTGTAATTATTCTCTATAAAACCATTTTTATTTTATTTATTCGAAAAAAAATTTACTCATTTATTAATAGTAAACGCAATTATAAGATTGTATTTTTTATGGTTCAAAAGAAGTGAAAAAACTCTTCGATTGAATGACCTTTTTATCGAAAAAAATTAAGAATCAGAAATATTTTAATTATTTTCGGCGTCGATTGCACAATTATTCCCATTTCACCCTACTTCGAACAACTGGTGGACACGCTTTGAGATGCAAACTTTCGATTTTTAGACAAGCACTCGACAAGTATCACTGGACGACATGACACTGTTAAACTGTCATTAATCCGAGCTAAGGAAAATAACCGACGAGTATATAGTTAGCCCAAACCACAGTTACTTCAGTTACTTCACTTCATACTTATTACAATTCGTCTCTCTTTTTTTAGTTTTTTTTAACTTTTGCTTTGTTGCTAGCTTGCTTATTAAAGTGATTTCGTCGTCGATTTATTTACTTCTCTGTTTTGGATCGTGTATATTAACAATACGCTCGTCGACTTTTGCGTATAACTGAAACGGAAGGTTCCTGGATCTCCCCGCGCGCGCGAGAGTTCTGAGATATCTCCATCTTTTTATACTCTAAATCCATGGCTCCTATATTGTTGATTCTTTTGGACTACTCCTTGGAGTACTGAAACATTCTTTCTCGGAATCCACATACTTTTGGATTCATGAGAAGTTTTGAGAATTTCTTCATAGGCTAATCCATGGATTCTCAGAGTTTCCTCAGATCCCTGATAACTCCTATCATCCCTATTCTGTATTCACGAGGTTTTTGGATTCTTGAAGATTCCAAAAAGAAGTCGAATTCGAACCCTCGGAGGTTCCCTTCGGGTTATTTGGATCGTCAAGTTTCTCAATCGCCGAGTCGTGAATCTTCAGATCCAAAATTCTTAATTTTTTGCATCACAAGATCAAAGGATTTTTTAATCCTTGATTATAAAAAAAAAGAATCCTGGATCCTGGATGAAACTTTGCGAGAAAGTAATCATTAGTTTTCTATGTACGAAGATAATAAAGCTCTTCTATCTTCTTCTTTGCTGGAGATCCTCGGATCCTTCCATGATCAAAGTATGAAAATCTTAAATCTCAAAAATCGGAAGTTACTACGCAAAAATTGACGAGACTTAGCAACATCGAGTCTCTCGCTTTAGCGAGGACACATTCACCACCATTATTATCGCCTCCTCTTTTCGTTTATCACCCTCCATTATTATCATCGCCCTCTTACTATCCTCCTCCTCTACCTTCCCTCTTTATCGCGCCTATTTGCTCGAAGATCATCCTCCCGTCATATTGTATTGTATCTTGTAATACGTAGAGAGGATGAGAGATTGGGTGAGAACCCTCATCTTCTCGCGTAAAACTCGCGTGGCTCAACAACGACCGAGAAAAGGACCGCACTTTTCGTCTGAAGGAGTCTTGCCACGCAAAATTCGCATTCCTCATCCCACTCTCTCGTCCTACCTCTCTCCTTCTCACACACTTTTTCTTTCCCTATTTTCCTGTCATCACACTTCACTCTTCTTTAAGTAGCTTCTAACTTACTTTTGTATTCGTTATCATTCTTTTATAAAGACGTCACTTCAACATACGGAGCACAACTATTGCGTCCAGAAATGTTGATACACCGATAGCTCTCTCTTTAATTCTCCCTAACTTATATGTAATTTTTTAGTCCATCTTTTTTTTTTACGAGTACATCGCTTTCGGATGTACAGGGTATTACATATATCAACACTCAATTATATAAGTATTATATGACCACCGCTCTTGAAAAAGTTGAGACACCAATAGCTTATCGTTATAAGTGACTGAAAATGAGCTTTTCGGATACTCAACTTTAAAGGTGCTAATAAATGATGAAACCTTGCGGAGTTTCTACTGTAGTTGACAGCTCTTTTCTTTGAACGGTGTCCAAAAACAGGGGAACACCTCAGAGGAGGACGATCTTCGAGATACGACTAGCCGATCTCGGCCTACAGGACTTATAAAAAAAAAAGATCTATCGTCACTCTCACGTTTCTTCAGTGTGTATCCTCCGTCTTCCTTTAATCATCTAAACGAGTAAAGCGACAAAACGTCGAACGATGAAAAAGGTGTCCCCAAGTGACACTCTAAAAGGATCTCAATCAAAATTAAATTCAAATATAATTCCCATAATCCCGAAGTAAAATTGGAATTTAATTCGAGATCCCATATTAATCGAGCTTAAATTCGAATTTAACTCATATATTATCGGAATTAAATTCATATTCAACTCGAAACCATGTTAATCGGGATTAAATCCTAATTAAACTGTCGAGTTAAAATTAAAATCTTACTCGATTAATCGAAAATTAAATTTAAATCTAATTCGCATCCCGCTAAAAATCGCATCAACTAAGTTTTATCTACGTCCTTTAAATCCTTATTACGAGTACTGTAGTAGTAGTATAGTAGTAGTAGTTGTAGTAATAGCAGCGATAGTAGTAATAGTTATAGTAGTAGTAGTAATAATAGTAGTAGTATTAATAGTAGTTTCTTTTTTTATTCCTTTTTCTGCTTAAGCTTTTTTTTAATCCTTTAGGTTTTCTGATTTCTGATAATCTAACAGACATCTAAAAATAACACCCATTTTTTGTTTTCATTACTATTTGTATTTTTTTTATTCTCGGTCTCTCTCTCCCACTGTTTTCCTCAATCTCAAGCAAGCGTTACTTAAGGGACTCCTTTTGTAAATTTTATCCTGCGCTCGAAGACCTCCTCGATGTTAACGTCTTTATTAAAAAGAAATAAGAAATCATACGTGAAACTTTCCCCGGTAAAATTCAACAATCATCAGAAATAGTAGGCAACATACAACCGCGAATGTTCCTCTATTGACTGATATTGATTGATGTTGATAATAATTAGTACTGTATTGATTGATGATGATCAGTAATCGGTTATAATATTAATTAATATTCAATCTGATCGTTGAACAACATATTACGATATCGGAATTGACTATTAATCGACTATTAATCATATACGTACACACAATATCATTTGTTAAATAATATTGTAAAATAGATGTTGGTATTAATTAATATTGATTAGTGACTGATTTCGATATCATAAAATAATGTTCGTGGAAGTTTTGATAATAGATTTTAATATTAATTAATATAATTAAACACTGTTATTGTCGATTAAATCGGTTACTACTTCATCCGTCAGTTACTCATCGCATTACAATTTTTAATTTTTACGGATAATAATAAGCTTTGATAATACGTTTTAATATTAATTAATATAAATAAACGTTGTTATTGTCAGTCAAATTACTTTTTTATCTGTCAGTTATACTTTGTATCATATATATTCACGAGTAATAATTTCCGCGAATTTTAATTTCTTGGGTACCAGCGCAACCATCGAATTACGCATTTAAATTTTAACCTATTCAATTAAAGACAATCAAAAGTTTTTAATAATTAATATAAATTTAATATTCAAACATATTGTATCTCTCTTTTTCTCTCTCTCAATAATAATATATATAATTTTTTATTTATGTAAATATATAATTTTAACCTAGCGACTTAAATTAATACATTTTCGTCGTTCGTTTTGTCAACTTCAATACCGTGTCAAGTTTTATTGCCTGGTGATCTTCTTTCGACTGTTCATGTCTTCATCCAATTTTTTCCCCTCTCTTTCATTCTTTATATTTTTCCTTCATTTCCTCTTTTTTGTCCAACTCTCTTTCACTTTGTCATTCTTTTAGTTTCTCTTTCTTTCTTTCACTTTTAGCATTGGTGAATTTTGTCGACAGAAGAGAAAGATGGATGGAAGAAAGAATAAATAAACTTCTTTCTGGGACTGAATATATATATATATATATATATATATTGTATATATTTATATATTTATATATCTATATATTCCCCTTTGCTAAGCCATTCATCCACATTTCCTTCTTTCCCACTTTCTTTTCTTCATCATCTTTCCTTGTCTTTTCTCTTTCTGTTCGCTCTCTCCTCTCCTTTTTCTCATCTACGCCTTTCCTTTGCATACTCATAATATACAGACCTTTTGTATTTTTAATTAAATGTACGATTCGAATATAAATTTAATAAATGAGATTATAGATATCAGCAAATAATCACGATATGCAAATATTTTTGTTTGCAATAATAATAAATAAACAATTTAAGAAAAGACAAGAATTTATTATTTTATCAAAACTGAACCCTTAATTCTTCTGGTGTGAATTGGTTTCAAAGTGTTTTAATATTCTATTATCGTACCTATTTTCGCTTATTCTTAATCAGGATTACAATTTATGGTACACCCGCTTGCGTTGATAATTTGAGGAAGTATCATTATTAGACTAATATGTATCTCTCCCTTGTAATTTTTAATAAAATATATATACAGAGTATCCATTCTACGCGCAGAAAGAAAAAACTAGGACAGTTTGTTTTCAGAAATGGTAATAACTAATAGATGCGAAAATAAATATAATGCAGATATTATCTGAACAATTACGTGAAGCTAAATTATGCAATGTGTTGAAACATCTAGTAAAACAACGGCACTGTGAAGCAACGAAGCAACAAAAGAAAACTCGACATTGCTCAAATTTAGAAAAAAATATTTCCCGCTAGCTTAAAAATCTTTCGAGAAAAATTTAGTCTTCCGAAAATTAGACTGATATTTATCGAGTTGATGCAAAGGATCATTTTTTTAATATATTTTGTTTTAAGATTAACTCACAATTTTTAAAACGATAAAATGAATTTACATTTATAGAAAAAAATGTATAGAATAAAAATTCATCGTGATATTAAAATAATAGTCTCTATTTATATAAAAATTATTTTCAACTACGTAATTTTGTTTGATGATTGACTTTTGATAAATACGACGAACCTATTCTAATTCCCCTTTTATGCATCAACTTAATATATATTCTAAGAATTCCGCAATCTTTAAAAATCATAAACGTTCAATCTATTTATTTCTATGACATTTTTATTTTTAGATTAGCTTCTTAATAATTCGTCCTAAAATAACTATTTACTTCAATTGTTACGACTCCAATCGTCGTCGCAATGTCATTCTAGGAAACACATTTTTTTATTTTCCGATTACTTCATATATCATTTCAGATATTTCTTTGACAAATTTAAGGAAGGCCAATATGTTCAATTTAACGATTTAATTCGCGATTATGTTTCTTTTACAATCCCTTGCATATTATGAAAAAGTTCATAAATGTATGTGTATACTCCTCTTTTCATTGGGCACCACTTACAATATTTACTTTTTGTTTGAGAGTTTTCTCGCAAAACCATATAATAAATGCAATTTGATTCTTTTAACCCAAAAGGCCATACAATGTATAGGTTCTAGTATAAAGTGATTGTTTTTATTATAAGTTCTGGATAATACCAGAATCTGGATTAATACGTCAAAACAGATTAAGTCTGTTTCGAAATCATGAAGAATATTTGAAAAAAACATTAGATATTGAAAAAAATTATTAAATTTGTAAAAAATAAATTTCACTAATTAGTGAAGAAATTACTCAATGTTAATGATTTTAATAAAAAAAATCAATCATTTAATGTTTAAAAATTTGAAGAATTATTTATTATTGTAAAATCCCTTTATTTTCAGTAAAATTCTTTCTCCATTGGCCACTAAAAGGGTTAAAATAAAAGCGGCCCATATGTTGTGCATCTCAGAAATGGAAGATTCTTTTAAAAAATTCCGTAGTTATAATTAATTGATAAAGTTTGCTCATTTAGATCTCTACGCAGAGGTCTCGCTTACTTTTGTGCTTTATTGTTTACTTCTTTCTCTTTTTTTTTGTTTTCTTGCAGTTCTTTGTAGTCGATAGTTTTTTGTTGGTTCTTAGTGGTTCCCTCGTTTGTCCTGCGCGCGTTTTTTTCGTTTCATTCAAAGACTTATTGTTGTTCTGGCGTACGAATATCAACGGTGTCACTTCTATTTCGAGTTATTCTCGTGTATTAATTGATCAGTGATAAGATAAACGACAGCCAACGCTATTTGTTTTTTTAAGCAAAATAAAAAATACAAATTAATAATGTAAATTGTTTTTCATATACATAGATTAATATTAATACACAAATCTTTTCATTAATTAGGAGTTTAAATCTGGTAATATAAAACTGAATTAAAAAAAATTGTTTCAATTTATGTTAAAATAAATATCACATAAAATAATTTCGATATAAAGTTATGTATGTTTGCAATCTACAAAAAAAAAATAGAAATTAAAATTGCGAATTTGCTGAAAGATAGACGCAGAATTATACACGTTCACCGCGGTCAAAGCCCGCCATTTGTAATTGTGATGTATTCACCGCGATGGATTCATGCAACAACCAATATGATTGCAATATAGCTATAGGCGATTGTTGATACAACAATCCATATTCGATTCAATATTAAAAATCGCGGTGTGCCTTGCTGAAAATATTTCACTCGGCTTGGTCGCTTTTTCGACGGGATTTGATCTTCTAAATCTTAATCACCCTTCACAATTCCATTTTCTAGCATCTATCTTTCTCTCGTTGGCTGCTGTTTTCTTTTTTTTGTCAAAGTGTATTTGTGTATTTCTTATGTCCTCTATTAATCCAACTATTATCCCCAACAGTTAACCCTTTAACTCATATTCAGCTTAAAAGTGAAACTTTCATGAATTAATTAAATCCCTTTTTAATTTTTTTTGTTTGCAATGTTTGGAAATATTTTAAATGTTTCCATCTATTCCATTTAAATTGTGTTGATTTTAGTTGTTAATATTTCACGAAGTTTTAATGTTCAAGGCTTAATATTTATGCTCAGTTTTTTCAAAATTTCAAAAATCTGTAAATTGATTAGAATAAAAATTATTCAAATAAATTTAAAAAAAAGTACTTAATATTAAATGATTAAAAATTTTCATAGCTGATATCTTTATCGTATTTGAGATTTTCGATCCTTTTTTTAGATTCTTAGATTCCATGTATGACCGAATCGATTTAAAATTTTTAGTTCTAAGATACTGAAATCTATGTAATCTTAGAATGTGTGTTCAATTCTCTTTAATTAATTTATGTTATTACCTTTTAAGATATTTGTTTATTGTACATAATACTGCGTAGAATAAAGAAAGATAATAAACGGAAGAATTAAATTTTTTACAATATTTAAAAATTTTTTAACAATTTAAATATAATGTTTTTTAATTTTCCAGATAATTTTAATTTTTCTATGATTTTAAAGTTTCCAATTTTTAATCGTTAATGCCGAAGATTCACTGTTTAATACCACTAAATATCACTAGAATTTTCGTCGATCAATTATACTATATTATATTAATAGTATAATACTGCGTCAATAATGTGAAGGCAATAAATGTTCATATTAAACTAAATAAAAGAAACGTATAAAAAATAATAAATCAAAAAGTGAACTAAAGAAGGAAAAATAATACAAATAAAATCAAAATATAAAGAATATATGCGCTTTCCATATATACAAAGAATCTAATATTTTCGTATTAAAGATCCTTTCACGAAATCATAAAGCACGTCTCACACAGATCGCGATTATGTCATATTTGATAAATTTAAATGTCTACCATTTGCAAAATTGTTTTCTTTTGCATGTGGCAAAAATTTTAATATGTTTTGTTAATATCGATCATTATCCAGTCTAAACAATTAAGTTTCCTATTTTTAGTTTGATAAAATTTGTTAACAAATAAAGTGATGAAAAGAAACATTTCATTTAGGCTGTTCTACAAATCGCCCCTGCATTTTTCAACGATAGACTTTCTTATTTTGCGTACTCCATATACGAGTAAAAGTTAAAGGGTTAACCGACGGCACATATGTTGCAACGAATTACTTTTCACGCAATATACTCATCGAAAACATTCACCTCCAAACTTACAAATTAGCGTCGGTCTTCAGAGATCATCCGTTTATATTTGGTAATCAGTCTATTCATTAAACTATCGCCTCAATCCAATTTTACAAAAGGACCGTTTTAATCCTTTAAGTCAAGAACGATTTTCGATACCATTTTTGGATTAGAAATTGAAACCGTTATAATTTCGTTAAGTTCAATCTCTTATAATATTATTTCGCATCTATATCATATTTAGAGTATAACATTTTCCCCAACAATCTACATTTCCTTATCATATCTTAAGCAACTATTTTCTAACGTAAAAAAGACAAGAAAAATTATTTCTAAAGATATTATTTTTCCAAAATTAAGAAAAATATTATAATGCTATTTCATATGAAGATAAAATCATTTTAGTGTCAAAATGCAAACTCGGCGAAATTGTATCGGTTTCAATCCACAATCTAGATTGTTCGCTCCGTATATCATCCACGAATGATCTAGGAATAGTCCAAGATCGTGAAAAAAAACGCGTCACATAAAAAGATGATAACAGCCCCGAGAACACCCAATGAGGGATTTGTGGAATTTGTACTCTTCGAATGTGTGTGTATGTATTAGAGTGTCCCCTATTCAGTTATTCTATTGCACATTCAGCAGCCTATTAATTCTTTTATAAATAACAATAGGTGACTTTTTTTTTAAAGAAAAGTCACTTAGATTTTGAAATTTCTCCTTTTCTTGACTTTTATTGCCTATATTCATAATTTGCATTTCTTTAATTTTTATTTTCTTATTTGTTTTGTAACAAATTTTCTTTACCCGCGGAGAGCAGAAATCACTTAAGACTTTTGTCTATTTGTAGATCTATAAATAAGGAACACTCTCGATACTTATGTGTATATATATTTATATATAATGAAACGTCACTTACGCCGTATAATTATCAGTTTACTTTTTTTGCTTTTTATACTTTGTTTTTTATACTTTGCTTGCTCGCTTAATTACTGAATAATAATTACTTAACTATATATGTGTACATATGCGTGTGTTTATCTGTTCTTTTGTGTCCTGTGTAAGTTTGCGTTGTTTATCTATTAATTAATCGCAATTCATTATTCATCGAGAAATTAGCCGTTTGTCTATCTTTGTCCATTTTCTCCATTCTCTAAACATTCTTCCCTTCTCATATTCCTCTACTTTATGTGGTGTCGAGTTTTATGAAGATTTAATTTCCTTTTGCTAATATGACGACGGCGCGGGGTTTGTTTATTTTGGTATGTTTATTTAATAAGCTTACTTGTTTGTATAATGTTTATATAATTATTTAAATAACATGGAAGTAATCCGCGATTTAATATCGGAAATGATTTTGTATTGTGTTATCGAAATAATTTATATAATCTTTTTAAGTAATTCTAATTTTTATACATAATTTTATATACTACAAAAATAATTTCATATTTTATAATCTTAACATATTAAAGTTAATTCCAAATATTGCATATAATCTTTAAGTTTCGAAATTAAATAAATAATTTTATGAATAAATTTGTGAAATATTTTTGTTATAATTTATTTGATATTTATATTACAAATTACTTTAATAATTTCATCATTTTAAACTAGGCGGATTGCTTCGGCTAAATACTTCCGAATTTGTTGACTAATTTTATAATTTTTATAAAATAAATTTTTCTTGGTTAGATTTTGATAAAACTATAAATTTGTCTCTTAGAAATTTACTTCACAAAATTATTTTAAATTTGATTAAAAATATTATAAATTTCTAAAAATATATATTTTTTAAATTAAGTTATATTCTATTTCTCTATTCAATCTTTTCTTTAAAAACTAAAATGGAATTTTACTTATTGTTAGATGTTTTGAAATTGATTGAAAAATTCGGAATTATTTGTGAATCAATTTGCATATTAAAACAGTAAAAATAATTAATAAATCAAAATTTTTTCAAATGCTTTTCTAAGAATAAATTTTTAGTTTTATCAATTAATGTAAAGCAGAACCAAAAAGGCGCGTATTTCAATAGTTCGAATCTCAAAATAGTCAATCGCTGCCTTATTATTTGTTTCAAGAATTTTGAATTAAGCCTGCAACGAAACGAAGAATATCATCATAGCTCTTGCTTAACATTACCATAGCTTTCATGTTTCATTTAGCTTTTTTGCTTCTCTCTCTTTCACACATGCACACACACACACACACTCTCTCTCTCTCTCTCTCTCTCTCTTTCTTCTTGCACATCTACACTGTCTTAATAAATCTGTACGGTCTTAAAAATATATACAATGCTGCTATGATTTCGTCAATGCTCGATAATTTACAATAATCTTCTGTATTTTTCACATTCTTCCAGTTGTTCTTGTTACCTTCTTTTTCTCTCCACTTCCTTTCTGCTCACTTTTTTTCTTATCTTCCATGTTTCTATTCCTTACTCATCGAGATCAACCTTCTGAAAAGTAGCTGGATTTTTTCTTCGTTAAATTTTTCCAGGTTTCAGTCACTTCTTCCTCTCTTTTCATTTTTTCTTAACTCTCTTTCTTTGTCCCAAATGCATTTGCCTTCTTGTCCGGATTAATCTTCTTCTTTTATTCCGTTTGTTTTTCCCGGTTGTTTTTCTTCTTTATTTTACTTTGAATGCATAATATATACCAGACATTATTGCAATTTCGAAAAATGTCAAATCTTATTTGCATTTACAATTTGTGGAAAGCAGCTGATTTTTTTTTATTGGTTTCTCCAACGATTAACATTTCCAAATGTTGTTCTACTTAGCTCGTAATGTATGTATTTTATACATACATCCTTTCTTTTCAACTTGTTCTCAAGCTGTTTTTCGCTTTTGCCATTTTTATGATAAATCTAGGATAAATCATTTCTTCCGTTTCTTTAGTTTTATCTTCTTTTTTCAGGTTAATTGTCTCTTTCTCCGCAATATTCAACGAAAGTATTGAAGACTTCTTCTTTTTTTATTGTAGGCTAGAACCGAGATGGTATCAAAGATAACTTTGTTTCTATTTTCATCTTCTTTGGGTGACAATTAATGTTCTTCAATCGGATTGCCTTGGCAATCCTGTCCAAGTTTCTTGTACCCTTCATATTTGATTTTTTGTTTAATTCCGTTCTTTGAAGATCTTCGCAAAGTCGAGTGACATCTAAAGGACATCTTCTTCTTTAACGTTGCTTTGCCAGTCAGGCCATTTTGGAAGGACAAAGTTGCATTGAGTACGAATTTAAATGTGCATTTTATGTGTATATATGTAATGTGTGTATGAGTCGATATCTCGCGCGCCGTCAATTTTCATACGCCCCGATGGATCTTCTTCCTTTCGCTCTTATCTCCCCTGCCCTATCCTTCTCCCTTTTCCTTCTTCAATCGCTTCTTCTCTCGCTGCCATCGCACCGCCTCTTTGTCTGCAAATAGCGCAGAGGAAGCAATGTGAGAATTTATTTGCTCAACATCTACCACCCTTGTCTTCCTCCTACTCATCCTCCTCCTCCTCGACTCTTGTCATCCACTCCTATCTTCCGCTTTTTTATCCCTTTGGTGATTTACGTCCTACACTCGTAACGGATTTCCCGTACTTAGCATACGGTGTTTTATTTATCATAGAACGCGATCAACTATAGCAAATTCTTTGTTTTCACGTAATTCGGCAATTAACTTTATAAGCAAAATTGATTCTAATTTGGACTCGCTCATCTAAATCGATGTTATCTCCCTTGCAAAAAAAATTCAGCTGCGTTTTTATTTTAAATAACAAACAAATAACTCGGTTGTCCGAACTAATCCGCATCTGGCGCGCTTTGAGAATGTGCACCAGCGCCAGGGTGATGCAAACGACCAAATTCACCGCAAATTAATTGCTCTATATATACGTACCTAAAGATTGTCCATCATCTCGGAAAGAGTCAGTCTGGAGGTGGACATTGCGACACCGCTGTCGCTACTACTCTGTACGCTACTATGATCATCGGTGTCCGATTGATTGCTCGTGTAACCAATCACGTCCACTTCATCTGCAACAGAAAGCGCGGATTCCGCACTGTTATAATCTGGAAGAGAGATCGATGACGAAATCATTCTTCGTTTACGCAACGAGTGCGACGAACAAAAAACGAAAAAAGTCACTCGTTCCACAACCACACCGAAAATCGGTCCTAATTCCAAGATTATAATTTCTTTTGAGTTTAAATTGATTAATACGCAATAGACGAGAACTGCCACGCAAAAATTAGTGGAAATTTATGCATCGGCATCTACCACTATTACGGCGCGCAGCTGTGGTTGCGCGTCCAGCATCTTTCAAGATGGCAGCCAGCTTAACATTTATCACGCGAGATTAATTAATGGCAGCGAGAAGATCGTCTTCCTACGGGGGAAATCCCACCCTCTCTCCGTATTTCCGGTTAAATTCTGAGCGTTTCCACCCGTATTCGCGATCCCTTCATAAATCTGCCGAAGTCCGCTCCGTTTTCGAGCGACTCTCGCCGGACTTTCGGAGTCACATTCCCTGCGAATTTACCCAAAAGAAATGTCTAAAGAATTCCCGCGGAGAAGGGGCGGGGGAGGAAGTCAAAAGAAAATACGATTGATCAGAACCTCCTCCCTCCCCCTCCTTGTAAGTTGCCCGGCCGTTCTAAGCTAAACTTATCGATCTGTCGGCTGTAGATTTAGTAACATGACAATCTTTAGTGGAATGCTGAAGGCTCGTACGAACGAGTCGTCCAGTACAAAGCATTTTAAATAGTATCGTTCTCCCTCATATCGAAAGCGCGCTCCCTTTGACGTGACGTAAGAAGACGCACCGACGCATCAACTGCACGCACCGTCTGGCCAATACTCGCGAGAGAGACGAGTGTGCCGGCAAGGACGCGCCGTTATTATGACGTCATACCGTTCAGACGAAGAGATGATGGGCAACAACGGGCGAAGGAAGGGGGTGGAGGTGGTGGGCAAACGAAGGAACATGATAGAGAGACTGCGGGGTGTACAGTAGCCATGACACCCGCTGGAAGGCACGGCTCGAAGAAGACGAGGGGGTGTCGACCACACTTGCTAGCTACCCTCCCCCCCGCCTCCCCCCCACCCCCTCGCCACCCGCGGCGCTCTGAGCCGGGGGTATTTTTCCATAATCAATAACATGCCTCTATTCTCGTCACACTAAGCGAACCAGATCTGCCCTCGTCACACACCACACCACCCGCCTCTCCCTTTCTCGCCCCTCTACCTTTTGCGTCCTCGACATCGCTAACCTGTCCAGGTGACAGTGGCGCTCAAAACAGAAGTGGCAAGTGTACAAGTCCGCAAACGGAGTGGCGAACAGCGTAAGACCACGTTCAGATTAGAGTATAAAATATCGAGTAAAATTTTTCTTTAATACATTAGATACAGAAAATACCATAAAATTTCAAATTCGATACGAAGTTTAAAACATGAATATGGAATGAGATAAGATTATATGAAATGTATGTTAGAAGAAATTTTGTTTTTTTTTCTTTTTTTTGATTAGTCACGGATATTAATTGCTAGAAGGAGGCGGTGAGCGCGGAGTGATGCGATTTGAGAGGCACTGAGTAAAGCGGCGGTTTTAAGGGTGACACGAGTGGCCAGCAAAAGAGTTCATTAAAACCAGCGTTGTGCGCACCCCTGGCATCGCCGAATTCGTCCCCCCCCCCCCCCTTCCTTTTCCCTCGCCCTTTACGTCTCACTACGGGGTATGGGACGTAAAAAACACGCGAGACATTCAATGCTTTCGACGCATTTCTCCCTGCGCCGCGGGGATGAATTTCAATATTCCGAGTGAAGCGAGTAAAAATAAGTCGCGCGTCACGTGTTTTCCTCCTAGTTAATCATTTCTCGTTATCACACGGTAACAACAAACGGGCACGGTGCAGTCCTGTTGCGTGTCCGCGCGTTTATCAGGAACAAATGGAAAAGAAGGAGGGCGGGGAGAGGGGAGGGTGGCAGTTGACGGCAGATAACAATAATATCCGTCACGACCGCGATAATTAACTCTTAGTCCGCTCGAACGAAGTTTCGTGAAGATGCGGACATTTCGCGTGGTGTCCAATATCCTCCGCCGCAAATATCAATTCCGAATCAGGCGGATTCGAATTTACGTTTCTCTATTAATTTTAAATCGCATTTTCAGCATTGAAATGACTTGTTGCAAAGGAGCGGGATAGGTAAACCTCCGCAAAAACTGTATCTCTCTCTCTCTCTCTCTCTCAGTCTTAAAACGCCAACTTCCGGTTGCGCTCGGCGGACGGATTATCCAAGTCTATTTATACGTGTCGTCGCGGTCCCGATTAAGTCTCGATCGCGTACCAACCCAGTTGCGATAAGTTCGTAACGTCGCGCGCGTGGTATAGTCACCAGTCAGTATTTCCTCGGTCACGTGATGTGCGTGAGAGATATACAATCGCCTTGCACGCAGCACGAAGCTTATATGGAAAAACTTCTAAAGGATTTCGGGCCCGAGAAAATTTCGCGATCGATATTTCCACGCTTGCGATTCACTGACGGTCCGTCGACCATAAGTTTAAATATATATCAAATAAAAGCGCGAGCAGATCATTCAGAAAATTATTCAGAAAATAAATAAATGATTCGTGTTTTTATCCTCATTGCTCTTTCAGATAGGAAACTCTCATTGTTTTCCTAATTTCACACATTTTCTAAACTGATTGAAATAGTTCTTTTAATTTTATATCAGTTCTCTCTTTTTCTCCCGTCATTAGAAAATTTTCAATGTCGAATAAAAGCGCGAAAACGGGAGCAATTATCTAAAAAGCAAATAAACGATTCGCGTTTAGATGGATTGTCTTCTTTCGTTATTTTTCTAATATATTTCCCAAAATAATCAAAATTTTTTAAAACTTTTCTCTCGTAGAATTTCTAAACATTTCATTGCACCTTCCGCCTTGCTCTTGTTTAAAATTTTAAATAAAGGTTTCCATTCATTATCACCTTGTTAGACATAAAAAAAACTTTCATTTCGAGCACAATTATTCCGCTATATCCCAGACTTAGTTAGCATCATCCTATGTATCGTCAGGATGGCCGAGCGGTCTAAGGCGCTGCGTTCAGGTCGCAGTCCACTTCTGTGGGCGTGGGTTCGAATCCCACTTCTGACAATTCTTTTTTGACGAAAACCTCAAAATAATCATAAATGTATTTAATCAATAATTAAAATATTATTGAATTATTTTTTCTAAAAGAAAGATTAGATTGAGCTGGATTAGCTACATGCATATTTGTTAATGTATAATCCACTTGGATTTGCAATTGCGTCGTGCTGCGTCTTATATTTGCTTTCATTTTGCTCGAGAGAAATTATGGGACGAGCACGCGGAAGGGTTTGCCTGAAGGATTACTTCGGGCTGAAGAGAGTCTGTACATCAGCCATGTTAGAAATGATTATTTTACGGGAACGTCAGGCATGTTTGACTTGTCAGTCTTTCTTCCCGTTCCCACTTCTTGCTCTTTGTTCGGAAAAGCACTCGTCTCTGTTTCATGTTGAATTCCGCTGTGCGGATCATAATTCTTCCTCTTCTATTTCTTTTCTCTCAATTCTATATTTTTAATCAGTTCTCTCCCTGCCTTAACTGATCATCACTCTTTTCGTACTGTTAATTCTAATCCACATTTAAAGGATTTTGGAAAATGAATAACAAATAGTCCATCGTCGTAAGCGCGAATTTCGGGAGAAGAACAAACATTAAGATTTCAACATGCTTTGTGTGACTAATACGAAACCGCAACATTTAGCCATAGCGCATCGTGCAAACGACACAGGGATCCGTTACTAATGGCTGGGACAGAGAATCTTAAAGAGGGATCTTATCACGTTTGGTAATTTAGCTAAGCGCAACAATCTCACGACATTAAGGTGCCCGAGGAAATCGTCCTGAAATAATTCCGCGAATATATGTATATATGCGCGTTTACGTGTGTGTTTATGTGAAAGGGAGTGCCTTATCCAGATTGCTACAACGCAAAACACACATTCTATTTGAGTCCATAAATGTAAAGCCGGATTCACCAGAGTGAACATATCTCGTAATGGAGACATGATTACTCCGCAATCATAGTGGTATACGCATGCCAAATGCACGATGCCATATCAAGAATGTTATTAATATAAGAGAGGCATGTAGACACACGGAAAAGTAATTAATTATTTTTAAAAAGTGCTAAAATGTACGTTTTTGACCGGAGTTAACAGCTTCTTGTATATTTTGATATTTAAGACGTTTAATTATTAATGGAAATAAAAAAAAAGTAACGATAAATTTCGCTATTCCAAGGCAGAAAGCGCGGCAAATTCGGGATGGCTTTCGAAAAATCGCCGGTGTGGCACACGTGACTTATGATAAGTGCTTCGCCGGAGATATTCCCACGGGATCATCAATTTCAACGTCCCCAATCCCCCCGCGCGTGCACCCTCCCCGACGTTTTCCGATTTCCTTCGCCTTCCGCTAGCTCGACCTCTTTTTTACTCCCGGAACTCCTTTGGAAAACTCATCCACCCCCGCAAGCTGCAATATTTCACGCGGTGGCGAATGCATTTTTGCGATACGCGTCGGTGGTGTCTCAACATAGACAAAATCTAAATTTTGAAAACTTTATCTAGAAAAATACAACGTAATCCCAAATTGTTAGATAACAAAAAATTACATTAACAATCGAGACATGCCATGTTATCTTCCTACCCAATTACTGAAAATAAGAGAAATTGTAAATGTGTTTACGCCAAGAAAGAGAGGAAATATAAGAGTGCTTCGTACATTTTCTTTATCGGTACATCATATTTGATTAATTTTCTGAGGAAAAAAAATCGCTGAAAAATTAATACCGTGGCATTATCGTATGATATAATTCTACAGCTGTTGTATCTTTATGTATACGCGTACGTTACGTGGACGTCTGTGCTCCGTGCTCAAACAATGACGCTTCGGGAAATTAAATAGATTCATCCGTTCGACTTTACGACGTAGATAGAGTAACCCGCGTGGCTTCTATCGCGCTGCTTTCCGTCTTAATTCCGACTCGTGATGATTAAGATTTAATCGACGGAATCAAGCTAGTTAGGAAAGAAGATAGAGTTGCGGGCGAAAATCTTCTTTGTACTTTGAAGATTTTCCATTAAAAACGCGGTGAATTACACGCGAAGATTTTTTACGGGGAAAGGAATTATGTCTCTCATAAATTACGTATTACTAATCGCTATGATGATTATTAGATTGCTGCATAACAAAGTGTCGTATTTAAAAAATCTCATTTTCATGAAACATTTTTGTAAAAAAGAATGTCATCCGGTAATCAAAAATAATATATAATTGCAAATAATTTTATTATATTTTAATTTTATTATATTTTTAATATCATATTATAAATTTTTATGAAAAAAGATACACTCATTCCGACTTTATTATGACGTTAATTTATTATATTAAAACTAGTTTAATTGAATCGGTAGGATATGATAATTCTTTGCTAAAATTCGTTAGTAAAACATGGACCCAATGCATTTCTGCATCCGCGCTGTGAAGAGAGACATTTATGACTATGAATTACTACTGGAAGAGTAAGACAGAAAGACAGATTGGAGATTTAAAGGCGTTCCATCGGAAGGAACGCAACCTCTCAACTTAACGTATCTATAAATGACAATCTCGTTGCGGTACTCACCGGACTCCGAGATGGATGGGCTACCTGCAGACCTATCCGAGTTACTAGAGCTTCCGGTCGAGCTGGTGGACGCCGTGCCCAGGGAGCACTCGGAGATACTGCGCCGCTTGGACAGCATCGCCGCGGAAGCGGCGGCGGCGACGGAGCCGGTCGGCGCGCTCGTGCTGAGCCCGTGGAGGCCGTGAAGCGCATGAAGGCCGTGGAGGCCGGTCTGGTTCGTCAGCTGCTCGAGCCGCCGTCTCAGGAACCTGTGCTCGCGCGACAGCTGCTCCTTGTGTATAGCGTGCTTACGCTCGCGGTCCTCCAGATTCTGTAACCCAGACGATGACATCACACATGATTGGGATCGTCTAATGTAATGATATTTCATACTTATAATGTGTGCAGTCTAAAATATATAGTATTTTATATGTATTAATATGTATTATATTAATTTAAAATATTTATAATTAATAAACAATATTAATTATAACAATACATTTATAATATTATATATTTAGACATATATAAATTAATACTATATATTACAAAGTATTATCTAGGCATTACATGCTGTAATACATTTTATTACAATTATAATAGTTAATGTTCTAGCAAATGTAATAGCATAAATGAATTTTTAGTATCAGATACGACAATAATGCTGTCCGCGATTATTTATATATTTATTAATGATTTATCGCTTCTCGATTTGATGTTGATATGTCCGAAAATGTGATCTATTCGTTACATAAAAAAAGTTTTGGTTTAATTAACTATTTATCATCAAATATCTCTCCGTTTCACTTTGTTCTGAGAGCTGCCAATAGGATCGACGTCGGCCGATAATCGGTTTCCTTTGTATTGTATACGGCATGCTATTTCGTAACGCAACAACGAGCGCTTACCTAGAAGAGGCCGACCAATTCCGGTGCAAATCACCGAACAGGAAATAATCGAATGCAACTAAATGCGTATTCTACTGCGTAGTATTTGACATGAGTAGGTTTTGGCGGCTCTGCGAGTTTTTCATTACAAGAGTTTGAAATGGAAAATTCTGAATGTTTTAAAATTTTTAATTAACACTTTTAAAATTTCAACTTTTTATTCTGTTTTAAAAATTTTAAATTTTGATATTTTCAAATTTTTAATCTGAGATCTCTCGAGATTTCAGCGTATTCGCCTGAAATTTTATTAAAACGGATGTCAGTCATTCCTAAAAAAATTTTAACTGAGGACAGAAATTGATATATATAGATCTCGCAACTATCAACTATGTTCCCGTAATGAAAAATGTAGTACGGTAAAAGATAGCTATAAGAATCAACGGCGCTTTAGATATAGGGTGGATGTACTACCAAGGGTGGAAGTGGCTTGGCGACGAAATCACCTGATCACAGATTAGGGCTCCACACGATAGACGATGTGTTTGCCTGTGCGTGTACATTTATGGCAGCGCGGCTGACATCGCGCTCGTAGAAAATTTCCTGGTTTCATGCTTTCCATTTTACTCGATATGAATTTACAACGGAGATAAAACGAGGCTAAGAAAAGCGTCAGCCGGAGCGTATTCCGTCGTAAAGCCAATCGACCGATCTCAGAAGTGAGACTCTGCTCGCTCGTATCATTTACATTGCGCCGGTCGATGCTGGTTACAATATAATCGGCATCGAAACTGCTGCGACGTTTTGTGTTCGCATATTAATGTTTACAGGGAACATATTCAATTTAAAATTGGTTATAATAACAATGTAAATTAATCGAATTTTCTTGATTATTAATTAATATTAACCAATTATATTTTGTCGCATCCCACAAAAATTGAAAATATTTCTTGATTATTAATTAATATTAACCAACTATATTTTTACGCATCCCACAAAAATTGAAAATACTTATTTTAAACATTTACGTTTAATAAGGTACACATCGAGCTTTATATTGAGCGTAAAAATAAACAAAAATCCCGAAACATACTTTTGATCATAAATAAAAAGAAATTCCAGCCCAGTCTGCCTATTCTTTATATCCATTTATTATTATACTCACATAGCCAAACACGGTGGGATAGAAAAAGCGTAGAATAATTAACGACGGAAACGTCTACCGAAGTGTGAAAAGAATCACGAAGGCCAGGGCGAAACAGAAAGGAAGAAGTTCAAAGGCGGACAAATGAAGACTTACACGCCGCCAACCCGCAAAATACGGAATCGCTTCAACCCTACCACCTCATCCCTACCACCACGTCTTACTTCCTCGCGGGGGTGTAAACCACCGCTCTCTATAGAAACGACACTTTCATGTCTTTCGTTCCTCTTACCGCTGCCTTCTTAACTTCCATCTATCCTCTTTTCAACCCACTCTCTTCACTCCTTTATCCCCCGGTCATGCCTTTCGCTTTACGGAATTTCCTGGCGACTCCGCCGCCATAATTAATCAACCCTACTGTCGTTGCCGAATCAATCAGGAAGTTGTACGTAAAGGATTGAATACCGAAAAAAAAAAACGTTTCGCGCGGAACGGCTTTTATAAAGTGAATGTGTGACAATCAAACGTTATGTATCGCGTAAAAATCGCTCTTTTACGATGCCTCATCATTTCCCGATATTGGTGCGATCTTTATTGCGCTTGCAGATGCCCTCTTAAATTACGCGTAGCAGCTTTCCTCTTCCGAATGGCGAACGGACGAACGTTTTTCTCCTACCTAACGCAGGCACATAATATACACAGGTGCCCGCAGGTCAGATTGATGTACACGCTGAGTCTCCCACGCGGACTATGCATACACGAATGAACGGTGGATACGCACTGCTGCTCGCTATTCTACAGGGTGCCCCGAGTACGAGCGTTCTAAAAGACGATGAAGAAATTGCATCGATAAAACGAACGCCTCGACTTTTTTTACGCGCGTTTATAACAAAACAATAATTAGCATTTTTTAATACTTTCGGTATAATATAAATCTTTAGGTATTTTCTTCTCATATATTTTCTTTATTCTTGATATATGATGTTATAAATTTAATTTAATAATTTGCATATCCATTTGTTATCAAGAGATTTCTTTTAAGCCTCTTTAAAATGGAATGAAAACAGAAAAAAGCTAATTGCATCTGTAAAACGACGAGCGTCATGACATTTTTTTTTTTCATTATACCAGGAAAGAGATTTGAAGAGAAGATTATGTCTCGAGAAAGGAGGCGAAACAAATCAGGTAAATGGCGAGGAAGTCATACTCCCGTTGATAAGTACACGTCGAGAATACATATCCGGGACATAATGCGCGCGCGCGACAATGGTGAATATTTTAAGTTACTTTTTACGAGGACAATTTGCTGACGGAAACAAAGAACACGCGCCGCCTTCGTCACCTGTTCGAATCACTGCGCCTGTATCCGCGTCACCCTGTAGACCGCCGCGTGGAAAACTCTGACACGCACACACGCTCGCGCCCGCTTGCTCGATACGCACGCCATTGTCCCTGGCAGTCTGTAATTTACTAACTACGCATCTATTGTGCATCGCCACTCTGTTTGCAGCAACACCTTGCTCTGCCTTTCTCTACACCGCATAGCCCTTCCTCCCGCCCATTTGTCCCTTCTGAACCTATTCCAACCGGGAAACAATGTTTCTAATGCGCGTTTCCTGCTTATATCCCGAGTTCCACCTCTTTCCCTCTCTCCGTAGTAATAATATATTCTTTCGCAGACGACATTCTTGTATTTGACAAATCTTATCACAGTCCAAGTTTCCATTAGTTACCCGAAAAAGGCAAAAGAATAATCTTTTTAAACCGTCTTCTCTTCTGAGAATTTTCTCGTCTTTTGTACCTGTTTCTGTAACACCACCTTCGATTTTATCAATTTGACTGATCTACTCACCTTGATAAAACGCTTGGCCTTGGTCAAAAGACCCAACGTAGTGTGCCTCGAGGTTTCAGGCCCAAGTGGCACTAGCAGCTTCAGCTTTTCGAGACAGGTCCTAAGATGGGCTCTCCTGCAACAGAAAAAATAGGCGCTACCGTGACTAACCGTAATCTTTTTTACTTTTTACGTATTACTATTAAATTAATTATTGACGCTAATTGTAAGACTGAACTGCACATTTGTACGTCATCCTATCATAAAACGTAAGAGTTTTCATTTTGAAACGATGTCTTAATTATCGCGGAAAAATGGCCCGAAAAGACGTCTATTTTCGGCGACACGCACAGTCGCGGGGATGCGTGCATATACCGCATGTGCCGAACACGTGTCATTAGCGGCATTTAATTATAAGTTTACGAGCCGCTTTATAGTCACCATCTTGGAGAATAGAGACCGCGACGGCGGTAATGGAAGAACGAGATCGCGGAAATTTCGAATTAAGGTGAATTCACACAAAAGCGAAACGTCAAAATTCTCAACGAGAGAAGTGGATGGAAAAAGGAATTTAGAAAATATATAATGAAAAAGGAAATTTGTCGCTTTTTGAAAACAGCTCGTTGTATTTTGAGCTTTTTTTTCCTGGCCGCTGGAAAATCTCGTTCGTAAAGAATTTTTCTTACATACATGTGAATGGAACTTAAGCCCATCCAGAAACAGGATGACGCGTTTGCACGTACATTTTACGAGAAACAATAAGCCCGCTCTGGCTTAATGACGTCATCAAACGGTATTATGCCCCGCGAGCTGCGGAGTGGACGTGTTTCAGCCGTAAATAGACGCGTTTCTGTCTACATGGCTTTACGTCTTCGTCTAGGCATGTACTCGACGTTATACATATATACAGGATATATTTATGTAAAGCTGATTGTGCTTTTATCATCTTCTTTAGATCATAGGATAATTTATTAATTTTCCTTTGACAAAAATGTTAAGGTCAATCGTCATTAGACAACTAATCAACGACACATTACATATTCTTGCAATTAAAATAAAAATTCGAAATAAATGAATCCTAAAAAAAAATTTCATTAATCTTTGTTTCATCTTGCAATTTCATCGAGAGAATCCGATGATCGCAGGGAAATAAAATGTCGCGAAAGAATATCTTCCCACACAAAATCGTTCTCAAAGAGCGCACTATACGTGCAGGCTCCCGCCATCCCCGATCGGCAGCAACATTTTTGCCGTGACAGGAGAAGGGCAACGGAGAGGAGCAGAGAAGCGATCCTTCAATCAATTGCAGCGTGTGACAGCGGCATTATGAAATTCCTTTACCGGTGGGAGTTACCCCTGATGAATAAATACTTCGCGCGGAATTCCCGCGCGTCGGAGTCGTCGGGGTAGTAGTTCGGCAAAGACGCGCGCGGTTACGGCAGACCCCCGTGGATCGGGGGTACGTACGCAGGAGATTGCTCTCAAAGGGAGAATGCCTTGGGACGCAACGAGAACGGCAACAGTCGAATATTAGTCGATAATTCGCCGAGCGGAAGGCGAGCACGAGTTCGCCGCTCTCCGCAAGCCTCGTTTCCTATTCCACGTGCGGATTTTCGAGAGACGCAATCTCTTGACTTTTTCCTTTTAAAAAATCGGGGGAATTTCAAAATACATTGAAATTTCAGCAATACGCTCGATTTAGCCGTGAAATGGAAGCGGCTGCGCTTGAGACGACTTGTATAAAGCGCGAACAACGTTGCGTTGCGTAGCCAAGCCTGGCGGGAGCAATGGCCGGCCATGAGTTAGATCGCTTTAACAGCCGCCTGTAAACAGCCTCGTAACTTTACTTCTCCTCCCGCTCCGATATCTTCCCCCTCCTTTCCCGCCCCCTTTCCCTTGTCTATCCGTCCATCCCACTACATTGCTGCATCATCACCCCCCTTGTTGCATATTCGTCTCTCATCTTCTCTATCTCTCTTTATCTCCTTGTCTTAATATTCTCTCTCTCTCTCTCTCTCTCTCTCTCTCTCTTTCCTTTCCCTTTCCATTCTATTTTTATCTCTACCTTGCTCTATTGCACAATTAATTATCAATGCTAAAATTTCTCTATAATTACGTTACCGTGTTGATTTAATTTACATTGTTTGTATCCACACAATACGATTTATTGCGACATTGAATCGTGAACGTATCTATTACTCTAAGGATCCTGTATAATTTACTAACCTTTATTAAACCTAGCGTTTGCACCGTCAAAAATCAAGTTCTTTTTTATTTGTCACATAATTAGACGCTAATTTTTAATTCTAATCAAGCTATTCAAAATCGCGTATTTATTATTCCTATCGTAGGCAATTAATACTGAAATTTAAATTAAGAACAATAGTTTGTCATTTGTATTCTATTAAAAAATTTGTATTGATCCCAAAAAAGAAAAAAAATTATACTTCGTAGGCAATTAATACTGAAATTTAAATTAAGAACAATAGTTTGTCACTTGTATTCTATTAAAAAATTTGTATTGGTCCCAAAAAAGGAAAAAAAATTATATTTCAATGTAACAATAAGATACTGCAAAGAGATACCGAAAATATTCAACGGTGCTGGATATATTGAAACAATCAAAATTAATTACTCTCGAAATACGTGGATTTATTGCTCGCAAAATAAAATTAAAAGATAACTAAAAATGTTCCAACGCGCAAAGCTGTACGTGCAAATTATAAAAATCAATTAATTGTACTCCATTATTCATTACACCAGAAGCGAATTAAAGCAATCTTTTTTACTCCAATTTCCAATAAACTTAATATCAATCGATTAACTCCGATCAATTTTTTATTAAATAACTATTAATCGATGAAATTTTCTCAACTCGAAATTTCTCTCATTTTTTGGTAAAATTAGTATCCTTGATTAATCGGGCATTAAGCTCGAAGGGAAGGGCGTCCATTCAGAGAGATCGAGCTTTCGTTTGAGGGGGAGGGGGAGGGATTCGGGATAGTTTAGCAATTCATTAGGACGGACACTCGAGAGTCGAGACTTAGGCGAACTTGGACTTCCTTCAACTGGCGTCCGCTCTATAGAGAGGTCGGACAGAGAGAGAGAGAGAGGGGGGAGGACCAGAGGCATTACTGCAAAATACCGTTTGTAGACACAAGCGAAATGGGTCTGGCTTAATTAAACTGTATGCAGCTTTCCAAAACGATTCCATTTAAAGTTGAGCTTTGCCTCAAATCTCCACAAGCTCCTTTTCGCGGAAGGTCTTTTCCCGTCTCTCATCTTTGACCCTCAGTCAATCGCGCAGGGTTATAATAATTTCAACCGTACCAAACTCAACGTGAGATAAATATATATGTATGATAAAATAATTAATTCTGAATTACGACATTTTCGAAGGTCAATCGGTTATGTAAAATGGTAGATAGCATCTCAGTTAATTTGAATACATACAACATAAACGATGTGCTAATTAAAATGGATTATTGAAATATCGTAATTTTAGTTCCAACAGCGCTGTTAGAACTATAAACATTATTCTGATCAAGTGTTACATATTATAAAATGATATAATTTTTTACAAAAATATGTTCAACTTTTACGAAACATTTGCAATTTTTAATACGAATTTGTTTTTTTAATACGAAAAAATGTAGAGGAAATTATAAAATTTCATCGATTTAATTAACCGTCATCTTACTATATGTTATAGAAATATTTCATACTGGGAAAGATTACATTAAAAAGTGAGAAGGACGAATTTGTGTATAAAAAATTTTAGTCGCGATGTACATTGTATGGAACATTCAATATAGAGTACGCTCACGTGGGTATTTACCGGCACGTGTAGATGCATACGGACAGCTGTGTAATGCTGGTTTCGCTTAATTAAGCTGTTTCTAGCTATGTCGAAATCCTTAGTGAGCGACAAAAGCGAGTCTGCACGTGCCTTCATTAGACCCCCCTCAATTCGGAGTAGCAAATCCACGAGACCAGCCCGATCGTGTGCCCGTGGGATTTAGAGGTAAATGCGTGTCCGCCTCGGTATTGGAAATGTGCCACTTTATCCGTGTCCTCTGTATTTTTGTAAAAAAAAAAAATGAGAATAAAAATTCACGCGTGATTGTGTGGGAACATATCCCCTGGTCCAGCTACATTGAGCTAACTCCGCACCGGGCAGCATTATGTTACGTGTATAGAACGAGGAAAAAACGCGAAAATTGACAAGAAAAAAATTGCATATACTCAAACAGAAGTGCTGGCCGATTGCCATCTTATTTTTAAAGTCGATGGCACAGAAGAGCGTTATTCTCTACTCCCTCCCACGCTCGTTGCACCCCCTTTCTCTCTGTATCCGCGGTTCCAGATCACATCTCCCCCCGGCAACTTGATCTTGACCTTTCGAACCCCGCACGTGATTGCGCCAGCTATTTCTCCTCGTATATCCCTTCCCTCCCTCCCTCCCTCTCTCTCGCT